TTACATTGCTGTAAATATTTTTATTCTACTGCACCGCACTACCCTCACTAAGCATAACCTGCACTATAGTATTTCAGATTACAACTTTTTCTGTAAATGTACAAATCTACACTAAATGCGCTAATCTCAAAAAATCTGAACTCGATATAAATAATGTCTTTTGAATTAGAAAGGGTGTTAATTAAAGAAGGTTATAGACTACCTATCATCACGCTATGACTCTTAAGAGAGGAGCAGTGACTAAAAACGAAACTAAAGTTAAGTTAGTCATTGATTTGATTGAATGTAAATTTGATTTTTTATTAAATGGTGTTTACGACTTTACACATAACAAAGTTGTGCAAAATAAAACAATCAATTCTTTATTAATCTATGTATAAGTACTTAGGTATATTGTAACAAACACATTCATTACAAGAAACGTAATAAGTAGTTTATTTCAGTTTATACTCGTATAACGAATTATATTTTACTCAAATTTAATAGCATTCTAATTAAAGAAAATGTTACATGATTGAGTAAAAAAGCACAAATTTTTCCTCTCGTCGAGTCAAGTATTATTGATGCAAGCAATTTAATTTGGTGGTATAGTAGGCCAAAACCTCCTTTCTAAGGAGAGGCCTATGTCCAGCAGTGGACTGTTAAAGGCTGTAGATGATGATGATGAAGCAATCTTAAACGCAAAGGGTTTGGTTGGCTTTATGATGCCCAGCACAGTTTGCTTGCTGCCAATCCTACTCGTGAATGTAATCGTTTTTAAATAGGAAACAAAGGAAGAAGTTATATTGAGTTGTTTTATGATGTAGGGGGCAAACGAGCAGACTGGTAACTTGATGGTGAGTGATTACCACCTGCGACTCAAGAGACACAACTTCATTACCGCCCTTTGAGTATTACCTTCCAAAATTAAGTAGGGGGGTAAATATTCCTTCTTTTTCATTCTTTACTTATCTGCGTCATTTACCTCCTCCAGAAATTAAATTCACCGTTAGTAATTATTCTAAAATACTCAATTTTTAAAATTTAGCACGTGACATTATGACTAGAATTTAAATATATAGTATTTTTTTAAAGATACGTTGCGGGTAATGAGGCAGAAGTAAAAAGAGCGAAGAATCACCTAGGAGAGAGTATTAAGAGAAACGGATAGAGCGAGAAGCTAAGATAAAGGATACTACGAATCTCGGATAGGAAGTTAAGACTCGTAAAGACCGTGGCCGCGTATACGTATGTTCGTCTTCTGATAGGAGAACCTTCTAGAAGATCATAGATAGTATAAAACATGTAGTTGTATAACTGACTACAAGATATCACATCAACAGCCTTTAATACTCCACTGCTGGACATAAGCCCCTCCTTAGAAAGGAGGTTATGGCCTACTATACCACGCTGGCCAGACGGGTTGGTATAGGGTTTGTGTCAAGTTTTCCTTCTCTCTGCAGTGCTGTTGTTCTGTTTTCTCCCTTAGTCGGCTCTTACGACACCCACGGGATGAATAGGGGTGGTGACACTCTGTATTCTTAATCCGTCACCACACCTACAAGATATAAGTCTATTTAAAGTCTGCAACGAACGTACGTGAAGACATCGTACAAGCACAAGCTATTCGGGATTATGATAATTTAATATAGCAAACGGTTCGCTGCGAAGAGCCAGAGTTCACCGATTTATTAAACGTAACATAGTTGAAGCCTTTCAATAGGTTCTGTGTTCTATTTAATGTAATGCTTGTGTATACATGGGTTTATTGTAAAATACTCTTAGGAATTAAGTCTTTCGTGACGATCGAACTGAATCTACTTGTATACTATGTACAGAGTATTAGTAAGGTGTGGTCAAGCTTTAGGAACGTTATTGTGTATGTGTGTGTGTGTGTGTGTGTGTGTGTGTTTGTAAGTGAGTGAGTATGTGTGTGTTTTTTTTATTGGAGGTGGAAGAATCGTTTAAAGATATCGCCCTAAAAGAGATGGTTGTTAGTGTGGGCTTGTACCTACAAAAAATCCCGCTGCCTCCAACCTCTTGATTTGAAGTCACTTCTTCTTTTTTTCTATCCGTTAATGTTTTTGGCATGTATGTGATGTGAAAGACAAATAAAGTTTTTCTTATTCTTATGTTTCTTTTCTGTAGACCGCATTTCTTGGAGTACCTTGAGTGCGTGTGCGTGTGTGTGTGTGTGTGTCTCTGTGTGTGTGTGTGTGTGGTTGTGTGTGAATGGATACGGGAGTGTGTGCATGTGTATTTCAAGTTGGTTTTTATACGCTTCAAAAACTTAAAAACTTCTACACCGATTGAGCTCAAACTTTGCCACGATAAACAAACCGCGTCAATGATTCTTTTCATCCATTTCCCCGTCAGTTTCTTCATTATTTCTCATCAATGCAATCATAATGTGTCACAGCGAAGCGGGGCAGGGTACAGCTAGTATATTATATAAGACAGATAGTTGATTCAGTTCAAAAACAGAAGCAAAAGAGTTTTTCTAATCCGAAAATGATTTCATTAGTTACCTTACCTGTTTGTCCGTTCAGTAATTGAGAAAACCACAAAGATATTGAGAAAACCACAAAGATATGGGAATTAAATTACCTGGAAACATATCTGCATTCCTAAATAATGTAAGCAGTTATCATTTTAAGTTCTTTTTTAATAAATCGTTTAGTTTAATAGCACGCATTGAGCCTTTACTAGAACCGGAGGAAACAAAAGAGTTTTAAAGAAAGGGATTAATATTGTTAGACCTATTAAACGCGTTAATTTCCATTAATCGGTAGTAATTATGGACACATACCTATTATGGAACGCGAAATGTAATGTAAATAATACATTAAGTGTCGGGCGTACAAATATTTATGAAGAAAGATTTAATAACATCAGATAATACATTGCAACCGTTTTGTCGCCATCGCGCCGTAGCGAAAAGAACAGTTTTGTAATCGCTTTATTTCACATAAATGTGTTACACTCGAGATAGTTTCTATTTGTTAAATGTAATATATTATTATACGGAGATTTAATTATGGCGGTATTCACAAATAAATTGTGGTAATTTGAACATGAATTCAATTTTTTTTCTATAACCCGGCAATCTCGTGCGCGACCGTCCCGCGGGGTGACAGACAGTGGCGGGGGCGAGGTAGCGCGTCATTCTAGCACACGGCTACACACGAAGAGAAGTGTGTCCCTTCCCCGCTACACCACCCGCTACCCGCTGACATCTCGAGTACCTCGTCCCCGCCACCGTCTGTCGCCCCGCAGGACGGTCGCGCACGACGTTGATGGACTATAGTCACATGATACGGATCGTTATGTTTGCTAATACCCTATTAATATTTAATTATAAACGTGAAGGTTTCTATGGATGGATGTATGAATGTTTAATGAAATTGGAATGGAATAAGTACATAAGCTACTTTAACAAAGAGCACGTGCTGTATAATAATTATAATAATTTTTGTATGAGTAAGATAATGAAGGTAAGCGACCACCGCCGCCCTTGGACACCTACAACTCAAGTTCTACTTTTTGTCCCTCCATCCGCATCCAGGCATAGGCGGAGAGGGTTTTGGGCTCCGATAGCAACAACAACACCGATGAAAGCAACAAATAATGAGAATTGCTTAAGAGCTGTTTTCTGTGATGCCGTGGTGTCACTCCTGTAGAGCCGGCACATGTCTCTCCCACTCTCCCACTTATAATATGCGGCTACTTTAACACCAGAGCGCTTTTTTACAGTGCTGTTCCTGCTTAGGTTGCTCCCTTAGTCGGCTCTTATGACACCCACGGCATGAATAGAGGTGGTGACTCCGTATTCTTAATCCGTCACCACACTCATAGATAGACAGATTTTAGATGTTCATTAACAGCCTTTAATAGTGCACTGCTGGTCATAGGCCTCTTCTTAGAAGGGAGGTTTTGGACTACTATACCACGCTGGCCTGACAGATTGGTGTGTAGAGTTTGTGTCAAATTTTCCTTCTTTTTGCAGTGCTGTTGTCCTGCGTAGTTTGCTACCTTAGTCGGCTCTTACGACACCCACGAAATGAATAGGGGTGGTGGCATTCCGTATTCTTAATCTATCACCACACGGATAGACAGATTTTAGATATAAGAATAGTATAATGAACAAAAACGTTTGTGTATTGGAATACTTTATATCAATTTTTTATACCAATCGTAGTGCTGAAATATTTTTAAAAACTCATTTCAGGCCTCTAATACAAAATATTCCAAGTCGAATGGGTCCAAATGGTCATGTCGAGCTATCCAGACACAATACAATGAGATGAGTGGCTAACAATAGGAATTGCAGTGATATGTCCTGGCCCTCGCACGTTTATTTTCTTTGTTAGTTTATCATTGCTGTTCGTGCATACTTGGGTTTTGGCAAGTTTTGTTTAGTTATAAAGTGTATGATATTAAAATCCTTCGTCATCCTTCTCTTTGCGTTGCTGATTTCATTCGTATTTCATTAAATTAATTACCCTTATCAACAGTATTTAATATACCACTGCTGGACATAGACCTCTCCTTAAACCATCGTTTGTGTCAAGTTTTCCTTCTCTTTGCAGTGTTGTTGTCCTGCGTATTTTGCTTTTTTAGTCGGCTCTTACGACACCCACGGGATAAATAGGGGATAATACACCGTCTTCTTAATCCGTCACCACATGGAAATTTTCTTAAAATATATTTTTATACATAAAACTAACTTAAGAAGACGTACGGCCCGCCTAAAAAACGTCTACCAGAAGCCATGAACTAACTGGTTGTGGTGATGTCAGTTGTGTATTGTAGACCCCACTTCTGTGTTACCAACCTTATTCTTCTTTCCGGACAACTAGTGGAAGTAGGGGTTTTATGTCCCTACAATACAAAAGTTAGGTTCCTTCTTTGTGTTTTCAGTTGATGATTCAAATTACATATGTTTTCTAAGTATGTGAAAGTCGCTACACTTTCAGTATAAGCAGAAAAAAATGTATTGATTTACGTAATAGAATTACTGTATGGAAGAGCCTGTATTTTTGAGGTATAGGCTGCTTATTACACATTAAAAATATTTAATTATCCATACTTCCAAAATTCCTAACTTATATTATAAACTAGCTGGTGCCCGCGAATTCGTCCGCATGGAATTCGAAAAGCGCTGCATTAGTGGATTTGATTCCCGGACCGGGTAAAATTTTTTGTGGGTTTTCTGATGGAAAAATTGCCTAAGTTGCTCCTTATATAGGCAGCTACCTGTTAGTAAAATATTATCAAAATCTGTCAAGCCGTTTTGAAGATTACCCGGAACAAACAGACAGACAGACAAAAAATATATAAACTGGTTTTTAGGCATAGGTATCATGCAAATAACCATGTGAGCATGAAAAAAAAACATTATTTGGACATTACAAACAGACACTTCAATTTTGTTTATTTGTGTAGACGTGAAAGTGAGTTTGTTTGTTTGTTCGTAACACTTACACTCCTAAAATTAATTTTTAAACATACACATATACCTTACATTATCAGCGAGTAACATAGTCTGCTTATTACCCCGGTAACCAACCTACAAGCGGGCGGAGCCGCGGGTCAAAGCTAGTATACTAATATTATCTAAAATTGGAATCAAACGCCACAACCCACAACACAAATCTCGTAGAGGTCGTCAAATTCCAACCAATACTTAGACTCTTAAAGCCTCTCTTTATAAACTATCTTCAAAATAATGTCATAAAAGCTATCGAGAATATCACCTTGACTGATTAAGTTGAAAAACCGGTAATCAAATCAATGAAACAAAGTTCAGGGCCGTTACGTAACATCCGGTCAATGAACCCAGTACAACTGGATCCATCACCGTTACCAAGTTACACTTCGCGTAATCAGTCTCAATATCAAGATGTACAATCCTACAACTATTATAAGGCCAGAGTTTAGACTTATATTTATTACTCTAATCATGCCATAACGGCTGAATGGCTCTGGATAAAATTGCCACATAATCTGGTATAGCACACAGGTTACTTTTTACATTGGAAAAAAATTGTTGACAAAACGGACATAAAAGCGAGCGTAGTCGTAACCCAAAGATCGTATTCAATAAATACTGATATCCTTAGTATTAATAAAGAAGTGAAAACGTCTCTTAAAAAAGATCTAGTTAAATATATTCAAAGAATTTGACCTTAATCTTACATAAAAAATTCTCGTGTCACAATGTTCGTTCCCGTACTCCTCCGAAACGGCTTGACCGATTCTCATGAAATTTTGTGTGCACATCGGGTAGGTCTGAGAATCGGCCAACATCTATTTTTCATACCCCTAAATGGTAAGGGTGACCCATCCCTAATTTTTTTTTGTTTTGCAATACAACGTTTACCGGGTCAGCTAGTCTATCCATATAAAATTACTAGTCCTGGCTGACTGACTGAGCCTAGACCACTCTGGCTATAAAATTGAAATTTTGGCAGCTGGTGCTTTTTTGTATTGTGAGCACCCACTAAGAATGATTTTTTGGAAATTTTACGCCTAATGGGGTAAAATAAGAAAATAAAGAGAGTTTTAGTTTGAGTTTGAAAGTTTCTTCATTTTCAGATATAGATAGATACACGCGGGCAATTGTTAGTTTTACAATAATATTCTAGTTAACCTCTCCACCGTTTTTTTTAAATATGTGGAGTGTAGATGACCCAAACCTGTGTGGGAACCCTAATGTATGTGTTCCTGAAAGGTCGCGCGCGCTCCCTAGCGCGTCTCGCCGCCACCCCGGCCTGCTTTTGCTAGGGTGACAGATGGCCACACCTGTCACCCACTGCACTTACGGAGACGGAGCCGCCTGGCGGGCCGGGAGAGTTCTAAACCTCTCCGGTCCATGTCCGGTCCGAACTCCCATCTCGATGTCACGCTTCTGCTCCACCCACGCCGAGCATTTTGTTATCGGAGTGGTGGCACTCAGGCGTTGGCTCCTTGCAGATCAGAAACAGGTGATCCCCGAAGCATCCTTTCCCGGTGATCACCTGCGTCAGCTGGTATGAGAGGGTCCCGTGATGCCTCTCGAGCCAATCCTCCATAACGGGTCTTAACTCCGCTATAATGGTGTTAACCTCTCCACTTAAACTAAATACTTGTATTAATTAATAGGAGTTTGTTCACATAGAGTAATGTTCTGCATGGGTTTCGAAACCACAACCGACCAATTGCCAAATCCGGTGTTTTACTCGTAGCCTCTAAACTACATCCACTTAGATTCGCAGTACCTATATAAGTTGTTCAACTTGTTTACTTTCTGGTTCCAGCGACGAGGACGACACGGTGCGGCTCCTGCGGCAGCTGACTCGGATCAACCGACCCTTCGGGGTCTCCTTTGCACAAATGGTCAAGCTCATGGGCCAATGTCAACAGGTAAAAAGGTTCTTTCAGAGAGTTCTATTTAATATCGACTGCACGGATGGCGTAGTAGTTTAAGCGGTCGCCACGCCGCTCACTACTACTCTGAGTGCTGTGAGTCGTGGTTTTATCGACCATCCTTCCGTAAAATGAATATTCCACAATATGAAACTTCTATTTGTAAATGTACCTGCTCCATCGGTACCAACTAAACTAGTATAGTATAGTAGTAGTAGTTTTCATCTAAATAATTCAATCTTTTTTTAATTTTTAATAAATAATTAAGTCTTCGTGAGAATGTCGAAGGATCAGCGACTAAAACCAAACGAGGTTCTGCCACAAGTGAATCTATCGCAGGTGATCCAGGATACCCGAACAGGGAAGTAACTGAGAACCCCTACAGACTTAAGCCATCTGATGAATCCGTCCGCCCGCCTCGTGCAAGTTGTAATGCAGGAAGTGTAAAAAATAAAATAAATGACGACCGAATGGCGTAGTGGTTTGTGTAACGGACTACTATTCCAAAGGTTGTGGCTTCGATTCCCGCTCAAGTCAAACATTTGTGTGCATGAACATTTAATGTTTGATTTGGTCTGGGTGTTTCTATGTATAATAAGTATGTATTTACAAAAAAAAAGTATTGTATTTATATCAGTTGTCTAGTACCCATAGTACAAGCTCTGCTTAGTTTGGGACTAGATGGCGTTGTGTGAATGTGGTAACAAAAAAAAAAATAGTAAACCATACCGTGGAGCCTAAGTCCCTCTATATCACAAACACGCCGCGCCACAATCTCAGGCTTGATTCTGTAAGGATGACGCTCAGCCCGGTACATATCCTTAAAGCCCGCGCGGAAGTATAGTACTCGTATACAGCGCATTAAGAGTTACTAGGAATACTTAGTAAAGGAATTCTTAAGAATAGGAGTCCATTTTTCATTCCTCTGCTCAATTACTCAAGGTTTATCCTTGACTCTTTCGAGGGGCTCGTGGGTAAGTGGTAACACATTAAAAAGTACAGCAATCCTAGCTAGGTCAATCTTTGGACTGGGGACCATTCTTTACATATTGAACATCTGTGGCAATCATTACGGGTAGAAAGTCTAAAACTTTATTTCTCCAGAACATCAATATCGCCTAGTTCTTAGGATGAGGACATTTGATGGCAGTAGCTCAGCGTAAAAAATCTAAGTTCGACCTTATCGTAACAGACTTAAAGCCGACCCCAGCCGAAAAAGGCTCGAAGAAAGAAGAATCTTCTCGACTCTTACGATTTTTGTTAGATGAATAGTGGTTTATCAATTTTAAATTATGAAATTTTCTATTCCAAAGCCACAGTCCATTGAACAAATGCAAATATTGAAGCGTAAACAATGGTGCATACTGGCGAACTTGGTATTCGCTAACAATACACGATTTACAGACGTTATATACACATGTGATAATTCTATGAAGTCGACACTGGCTGCGCGCTTCGGATGCTATCGTCTGCACTCAAGTAGTGTAAGGTCACGAATCAAATTTAAGTGGACAGTTATAATCTACCGTTTTGATACCATCGTATAATAAACTAGTTATTGAAAAAAATATGCGTAATTTTTTTAATTTAAGACAAATCTAATGACACTTCAAACGCCAAAACCGTTTAGACTACAGAGCGAGTCAAATAAATATAATACATACATCACATCACATCAACAGTCTTTAATAGTACTGGACATAGGTCTCTCCTTAGAAACTAGGTTTTGGCCTACTATACCACGCTGGTAAGACGGGTTGGTATATGGATTGTGTCAAGATTTCCTTCTCTTTGCAGTGTTGTTGTCCTGCGTAGTTTGCTTCCTTTAGTTGGCTCTTAAGGGATGAAAAGACTCTTATTCATCCCGTGGACGTCAGAAGGAGGCTCGAGTGTATGTATGTATGTGCTGCTTCTGACGTAGTCGGGTAAATATAAGATACACTTTATTGTACACCAAAATTGTAATTTCGTTACATGGATATCATAAAAACAATTCACAAACAACTCATAAATATCCTTTAGTACCTATTTCGTACAGTAATGTATACACACTAAAACATTCTTATGTAAGCATAGTTATAATGTCATTGGGCAAAATCCTGACTTTAAATAATAAAGAAAATGTTTTTAAGATGACAAATTTATCATAAAAATAATCGCTAACATTTCATACAAGATTGAATAAAACCGTATATGTATATTACTATAGATGTTGTATGTCTGGATGTATCCAAAAGTTGACACAAAAGTTGGTAGGGAAAAGTTCACATGTCCATGAATTATGAAAGCATAAAAACCTTCCAAATAAAATAAAATCATTCATCCTTCCTCATTTGATTATGTGTTATGATATGTAAGTTACAATTCTAAAAATATTACCAAAACTTTCTGTTACACGTAAAATTAGGTCATAAATGAGGCAGGTAAGCGATCATTTCCGTGAGCTAAAGAGTTCTTAGAATCCAAGGCTGGCAACATAACTTTGATTGCGTGATTCCGGATGCACAAAGCTTCAAAATCATCCGATTTTCTTAAGAGAAAGTACTTACGTCACTCTCCGTTATTACATTTTTCTTACGCACAAAGAGGTGTGTCTGTTTTTGTTAAAATAATATTAAAATAACAAAACACTTTCGCTTAAAAGGAACATTTTAAATATTTCCATTCGCCATTCGGAACTGTTTAGATTCACATCCATTCTAACAGGCTGAAAAGTTTGTTTGTTTGATTGATTGAACAGAAACTACTGGTTCGAATAGAAAAATCCTTTTAGTGTTAGATTTATCGAGAAAGACTTTATAACTTCACGCTAAGACCAATAGGAATGAAGCATCAATGCAATATGTTGTAAAAACGATGATAATTTATTCCTTTTAAGAGACGAAGTTGAATTTGCCAGCTTGTCAAAAATATAGTGTTAATCGGGTTTGGTAAATTTGAAACGCACAAAGACAGTTTTGAAGTGAAATATAGATTTGAACCTTTAAAGGAGAGCAATTTTTTGCTTTCTGTATTTAAATCTACCGAAAAATACACATTTATAAAGATTTATGTGACTTAAATCGTTAAAATATACGATTACACATAAAATGCTATTGATTACATTCATTCTTTCGACTTGAATAGCTCACACATTAGAAACAAACAGTTTCTATACACGTTTTTCTTAACTTTCAAACTCAGAGATACAATATTTCTCTCACTTCACATCATGGGCAAATAATTGTGGTTTTAGGTACAATCTTTTACAAGTATTATTTTTATGTTAGAGGGGGCAAACGAGCAGACGGGTCACCTGATGGAAAGTGACTATCGCCGCCCATGAAAGTCTGCAACTCAGGAGTCACAAACGCGTTGCCGGCCTTTTAGGAAGGAGTACGCTCTTTTCTTGAAGGTTTGAAAGTCGTATGGGTTTGTGCGGGGCAAACGCACAGTAGTGGAGCGCCAACTATCCGGGTAATGGGGATGAAAATTTTGCCGTGTGGAACGATGGCGGAAATTTGCGACTGGTATTAGTCCGAACAATTCCTCGGAGCACTCTCCATGATATATGCTATAGAGAATGCAGAGTGAAGCCACATCTCTACGTAACGCCAAGGGATCGAGCCGATCGGAGATGCTTGGACTATCGACGATTCGAGTCGCTCTTCGTTGGATGCGGTCCAGAGGGAGAAGCTGGTACTGAGATGCCCCTGCATAGAGATGAGAACAGTATTCCATATGCGGCATATGTTCAATCTGTATTGTACCCGGTGTACAATACATGGTATTCGCTGCGCAAGATTGTAACATAAATGACAATTAATATATTTTATCTCCAATCCTTTTTCCCAAACTATTCGGTCGGCTTTTCTTTATTCTATGGCTTTAAGTATACTACGATACAGCTGAACTTCGATTTTTTACGCTGTGCGACTGCCACCAGACCTCCACAACCCAAGTACTAGGCTGTATAAAATAATAATAGAATAAAACTTTATTCTGTAAAAGACACAACGTACAACTTAACGATGTAAATGAAAAAAATGGACAAAAATTCTGACTATAGCTTGAACCGAGGGTTCAACACACAAACTTGACTTTAACACCCAGCTCTACATAATCATTATAATCAAATAGGTACTTCAAAGTCGAATTTCCAAGACCCTTACAAGACTATAAATTTAGTTAATAAAAAGCAGAAGAACGAGAAGAAGTCAATGCTAAACCCCAAATTACTAAATCTGTCAATTATTTACAAAGCTGTAACGTACAATTAAGAAGTATTTCTTGATTGCAAACAATCTTTGTGTAAGTTTTTTTGATTTTTATTATATTTTAAACCCTCATTCGAATTTTGCCTTGTTTTACGTACAGTCAATGATAACAAAAAAGTTATCAGTTTAACTATAACACGAGGTACAATACCATGTCGTGATGGTATACCATATTACAATGCTCTTAAATCTGAATCTAGTAGATCGTTCAGATAATTTCTATTGTCACGTATCACGAACGTGATGCACGCAAAGTTTCCTATCTGTTTTAATTATAAAAGAAACAGAAGTTATGAAAGTTTAAGGTTTTGCTCTATACAACAGCTGTCAAACAAAGTATCAACATCTTTTTCTTTTAGCAGCAGAGCAGTCGGGAGTCGGGACCTATGGTAAGTGACTGCCGTGGCCAAGCACCTGCATGCCAAAGGTCACAAGTGTATTGAAGCCCCTTGAGTCCCCCCATTCTAGATTTAGGGGAAGGTTGAAGATGCTTCATTCATTCAGTGAAAAGCGTTTTCTGTGATGCCCTGGCATCATTACGGTCGAGCGAAACTTGCTACCGCAGTCTCAGTACCTAGCTCCCTCGCCCGATCTGTTTTTCATACCACAATTTACTCTCTTTCTATGTCCCGTCTCAAAAGGGTTACCTTCCCAAAATGGGTTCGTGAAGGAAGACAGCAGGACATAGAACTGAACTCAATCCAATGTTACAAATTGCGCTGACCCCAAATTAACTTTTGATAAGGCCACAAAAGTGATGATATTTCTACATCAACTGAAGGTCGACTGGGAGAGCATGCCCCACGGCATTAAGTCCAACCATGTACAACATGTGTATTAAGTTTTAAATAAAAAATATTGGTTACAGGTGGAAGGTGTAGAAATATTTGACGAGGGGGGCATGGAGCCAGCGACTAACGACTGGAGAGAGACAGGGGGCGCAGCGCGTGCTAGGCTCGACGCCGGCGGTGCTCATGCAGGCCTGCTAGGAGGCAGCCCGCTTACACTATTACAAGGAATTATACCAGGTAAATGAGTAATAGTTGAGATCCTAACATCTGGTTCAAATTTGGTTCAATGCTTCAATGTTGAATGCAGTTGAATGTGTTTTGTTTTAACTGAAGTGAGATGAAGGATAAAACAGACAGTGGTCGCGTGGTTCTCAGTCTCCGTTCACTGTCTGTCCCAATCTTTAACATCACCTCGCTTTTACTGGTACTATGTTAATTCAGTTCATTTGTCAAATTTATTAGAAACGACCTTACAACGTTTCTTGTTATACTCCGAACAATCTATATTAAATATATTTAATAAAAACATTGCGTAGAACTATTTACGAGTATATGGTTTTTATTGTCAATCTAAACATGTAAAAGTACTTAAGAAATTACGCTAAGAATAGCTAAAAGCCACAAGTAATTTAATTCATATTTTTATCGTTTTTTTTGTCAGGGACCAAATGGTGCGGCACGGGTGACATAGCAGCGGACTACCACGACTTGGGCGCCGACCGTCGGCTGGACCGCTGCTGCCGAACCCACGACTTATGTCCTACCAAAGTTCGCGCGTTCTCGCGTCGCTATAACCTCACCAACAACTCGCTCTACAGTAAATCGCACTGTATTTGTGACGATATGCTTTTCGACTGCCTGAAGGCCACTAATACCTCTGCCTCACAGCTGATGGGACACATTTACTTCAACCTTGTCCAAGTACCCTGTCTCGAGGACGTCTCGTTAGGAAGACGGTTTCGAGATGCAAGGCAGGGCTTTTAACGACATCTAGCGGCTGATAGCAGAATTATGAGAGTATTTTATCAATTAGCGCCATCTAGTAGTCAGTGTGTCATTCATGCACAGAATTTTGATGATGTATAAATTTTTGCATTGGTTAAGTTTTCATGTGTGTTTTTCTATTGGGGGTTGTAAATAATGATTAAATTTTAATAACGTTCTTATATTAACGTTAGATATCAAGCTGTGATACGTCTGTGCCTTTAAATGTACTAGAGAATATTTTTGTTAGAAGATGGCGCTATAAAAACAAACATTGTTTTTAAAATAGTTAATAAGATTTTATTTATTTGTTACAAACGTTCATGACAAGTGTGATGAGGTGGTGTAATGTTTCAATGTGACGATAGTCTAATATTTCTTTATTGAAGACAAAGATATTTTATAATAACGTAGTTAAAGGAATGTGAATTAGTTCTTACGAAATAAATTTATTTATTTTAACTCTTTCATACTTTGCCTTATTTAAAACCTTAAAACCCTTTTTTCGTTTAATTAAAGTTATAGTTTAAAAGGATGACACTACATCATATATTAAGTAATCTTATAAAGTAATTACATAAGGTCCGTGAGAGACCAATACTGGCCATGCTTCGGCAAATCGAGCCGGGTCGACGGTAGTGAAACCACGACCTTACAGGAAGCCGGTCTTAAGTTATTTCGTCTTTTTTTCGCTGAACGAGTGGTTCTCCTCCCCTCCTTTCTATAATTGGGGGGGAATTTAATTTAAATATCGAATTAGTCGTTTCCAACTCATATTTCTCAAAAGAACAAGTGTTACTGAAGAGAAATCCGTGTGGTGACGGATTAAGAATACGGAATATCACCACCCCTATTCATCCCGTGGGTATCGTAAGAGCCAACTGAGGGAGCAAACTACGCAGGACAACAGTATTTGCAAAGAGAAGGAAAACTTGTAACAAACCCTATATCGACCCGTCTGGCCAGCGTGGTATAGTAGGCCAAAACCTCCTTTCTAAGGAGAGGCCTATGTCCAGCAGTAGACTGTTATAGGCTGTTGATGATGATTGATGATGTCTGGAAGCCATCTAGTATCAAGGGGGGCACAACAATGGCTTTCAAGCTCGTACAGCTGGCAATCGCTATCCTCGTCTGACTAGTGATGTTACGCACTTAATCTCTCTCAATCACACTAGCTTAAATATTTACCATCTTTAACAGCCAGCAACCCTTATTTGCGGTCAGATTTAATAAGGCAACCGTATATCATAATAAACATAAAAAAATTAGCTTTTATTTGATAAATAAATAATAAACGTACGTTATGAATATGAATGTCTCAAAATCATACCTGTTTATACCTGGCTGCGAAGAGGTGCGGCCGAGTGCGCAACGCCGTGATTTTTCAGTCTTTATACCGTGAAGTGGACGATATTTTATTTAAAAAACAAGTGAACGAAATGTTTTCCCAAAAATTAATTAACAAAAATTTAATTAAAAATACTAGCGGCCACATTTTGATAGGCAACCTGGTAGATATATAATCTCCTAATCATAAATATGGGTTTTTAGCACATATTCGATGAGTGCACTGATTCTGCAGCCGGATCTCGTACTATTAGTGCCATGCAGGCGAGCGACCATGAAAGTAACCATACCAAAACCCCATTGGAATATGTAAGATTGCTCCGACCACAAAAAAAAATTAAGACTAGGACAAGAAGGCGATTCTCTTCAAACACAGAGGTCCTTTAGCCTCAAACTAAGCGGGAAGTCCTGGTAGATCGAATCAAACGAGATTTGTCCCTGTCAACATTCTTATCAAAACACGGTCGGGCTACAACACATAGGTAATGATTAGGCCAAAAGGTAGGAGGTAGCACCTAACTAGGTGCCGCGTTGATTCGAGAGGGACATGAAATCACATGGTCTAGGTTCTTCCAGAGTTGAGCGCCTGAGGCTGGACGGCTAGTGGGTTTTTTAGATGAAACGCCATATTATACTCCTACGTCTCCAAGGCGCTGGAGATCTACATAAAATGATTTTCTACCCCGTCAAAAAATTCGTAGTATCAACGGGGCCCCAAATATTCACGATCCGTCTCTGCTCATAGCTGAGAAGTCTCGTATTCCGTCAATGTAACGGTCGCCGTCTTTAAAGGTAGTTTTAATGGCCTCACAGTCGCACTTAAGTTGGGGCCCCAAACAAACACACTTCGAACGTAAATGTGATCAAATTAATTAGTCATTTGTGGTAAAGACCTGGGGCCGCGCATTTAAACGAGCCTCGCGAGGCCCCCTAAGTTCGAGGCAGTGGGCGACGGCCCACTTCGCCCACGCCTAGCTACGCCACTGTGAAACGATGAAGTGATAGCTGGTACATTAAGTACCGACGTGAACCCTATTACACGAATCTAGCGTAGGTTGGTGGGTTAAAAAGAATATTAGTAATGTTTGATCCACATTAAAAGCATTATTATTTAAAAAATATCAAGCTAAGTGTCGACGCCTGATGTCTTAAAATCTACTAAAGTAGATTTGCAGTTTGGTAGAGTTGGTTAGAAGTTTATAAAACTTTTATACACAAAGAAGTTTTACTAACTTTTATTTATATACCTTTATATATAAACTTCCATACATATAAAAGTTTTATTGAATTATATTCACCATCAAAAGTAATTCCAAATTAAGGAACTCCAGGTTTTTTATTTACCAGACTTTTAAAACATTTAGGTTTTTATTTTTTGTACGTCTTAGAAAGTTTTAATAATTCGTTTTATCAGACATTTTAATGGTGTACATAGTTATTGGTAGAGGCATTTTTACATTACATGCTGTGTAGTATATGAACTCCTGAAACGACATAACAACACACCAACCGCCTGCTGGGCTTGTAGGAATATATTAAATCTGGGTAGTCCTGTCCTGAGACAAGTACTTTAGGTTTCTTTTTTTAATCTGTCAACACAAATCATTTAAAACGTCAATAAGAAATGTCAAATAGTTTTCGTAAATTCATCTTTTCTCCTATTTATTCATGATTTTGAATTTTTGAAGTAGTAAATCCGTGTAATAATGCAAATATCTCGTAGGTTATTACTGCTTTAGAGACAATTATTGATATTGGCATTGCCAGTTCACCATGTCGAGTGAGACAACGGAGAGTGCAAAAGGTGTGTTATTTTGTGCAATTATTTGGTAATTCAGGTGATAATGTCTTCCGTAGAGGCACTGAATGGTGTTTCTTTTTCAAGTGGAGGCCGCCGGAGAGCGCAATGGCCCGGCGCCGGACAAAACGCGACGATTACTCGAAGAAGAGTTTAACATACAACGTGCGAAAATGAAAGAATTGTTTTTACAAAAAGAAGGTTCGTTGGCTGATAATAGTGGTGTAGGGCGTTCGGGTTGAATGTAGACTTGGTCCTGGTTTGTTTCAGTGCATGCTACTAGCAGTATAACCATTACATTATTCATATTAGTGAGTACTTTAACTAAAATTGAAAAACATTTTTATTTGTAGTTTTAAAATAGCAATATTTACATACATATTTTGTTTGTTAATCTTGGTTCTATTTTGTCTTGTGCATTTTGATTGCATTGTCTCATTGTCTGGGTGCATCATTAACAATATTTTGCTTGTAACCATTGTGACGTTTATAATCCGTTAATTGTCATGGCCAAGATACAGGATCAAAACCTAATCAAGCACAACATTGACAGAATCATCAACTTAATACGTAGTTAAGTAATTAATATTATTAGTACATATAGTATAATCCTGAGTACTGGGGCCCTTTGTAGATGTAAAAAAAAAACAATTATAAATTCATACACTCAAGCCTACATCCCGGAAATGGCAGATAAAGGTGTATTAAACATGTATATTTAGCTATCTATAATAATTCAAGTCGCATTTATCTGATAGGTGAAAAGCACTAGGACAGTGGCACACTTGTGGCGGTAATCACTTACCATAAGGCAGCCCAAGTGCTTGTATGCTCCTCCGTATCTTAAAAAAATCTATTCCCTAATCAGTATAATAGTTTTACCTTTATATCTACAAATGTTGAATATTATTGTATTTTAAACTATTAATGAAATTAAACATAAAGTACATTTAACATAAAATTCATTTAAAATTATAAAATTTATGTCAAACATGGGTAATATTATTTATTAAACAGATTAACCACATCTAGCTGAAGTTCGACTTTACCTCTTTTATCAATCAAAACTTCCTTTTAAATAAAGTAGATTATTATGTGTCACCACACATTGATTACTTATCAACAAAACATTAAAAACTGAAATGAATGACTGAGTATTTAATTCAACATAACCTATTAAGCATAATTTTCCACTGGCTAGGCAAGGTAGCTATTATTAGTGGTCTTGGATGAAGAACGGGTCTATGACTATAATCAGCAGGGCAATGTTAGCATATCTATTCTACAATGGTAGAGGCTAGTAATTTGTTAAAATCACAATCATCATCATCAACAGCCTTTACTAGTCCACTGCTGGGCATAGGCCTCTCCTTTGAAAGGAGGTTTTGGCCTACTATGCCACACTGGCAAGACGGGTCGGTATAGGGTTTATTTTAAGTTTTCCTTCTCTTTGCAGTGCTGTTGTCCTGCCTAGTTTACTCCCTTAGTTGGTTCTTACGACACCCACGGGATGAATATGGGTGACACTCTGTATTCTTAGTCCGTCACCACATGGATGATCACAATCACATGCGATAAATCATATGATTTATAATTCATGTAACCCGTGACTGATTTACAAAACCTCTGTGATTTATTATTATTATTACTGGCACAAAACTCGTGAAAGGTCTCAATCTAAAAAAAAAGTTCGCTGACGTTACTGTTGATCTGTCAATCTATATTTCTGTGATAAAAAATATCCTATAAGTAAACTATTCTAAACTATAACCTATCTCAAAGCTAAATTTCATTCAGATCTGTTTAGACATTCTAATGTGATACTCGGTAAGATTTCATATTTACTTGTCCTTATGCTCATCTAAATATCGTGACATATTTATTTCTATTGCTTTAACAGAGCTTATAAATACTAGAATTATTTTTTGCAACGTGTTTAACTTTCAATGACTTTTTCTATGACCAAGGTTGTTTGATATCTGCATGTTGTTTTTATTCTACAAAGGTATAAAATATACATAAAACATGACTTATATACAATTACTGGCACTTATAGGGACTTACAATGAATGAGTTGTGTAAATTATCAAATCAAATCAAATCAAATCAAATCTTTATTTGCCAACCAAGTGTACATCAATGATCTTATAATATTATATGTAGTAGTCCCAACTCAGAAGCCTTTTCCAGGCATTGCAAAAATTTGAGAGAGAACGCAGAAGAATAAATTGTTACACAAGTACAAGCATTTTTTGAACAATACAAATTAAGTGACATTGAGTCACTTAATTTGTATTGTTCAAAGTACAGTATAACAATCGAATAAAGCATGCAAAAATACGAAGGCACCCGACATCTAGGGACTATCCATCTAGGGACCCGGCCAGCCCTGAGATAGGACCTGCGGATAGCTTAGGCGCGGCGTCCATTCGGGGATAACATGGTCCAGATCGTCGGGATGATGTTAAGTGTTAACACCACACTGATGAGGACGCAAGACCCAGGCTCCGATACGGAGCCGGAGATCCGAAGGGCTTTTCAACACCAAATATTTTTTACTAAAACTTATCTCATTAATGACTAATTTAGAGTACACTAAAATTCTGAAACTGTTTTAAATAAGAAACAATTATGAAAATTTTCCTATAGCTACATTTTGTTCAATCTACACATCATAATCCAAATAGCGATGCACATATTCACACATACAAATATTTTCACAGCACAAATAATCTCCCAAAACTTTGCAGTTGAATGAACTTCTGGGCCTGTTTAATAAAATAAATAAATAATAATATTGTACCACATCCACACAACACCATCTAGTCCCAAACGAAGCAGAGCTTGTACTATGGGTACTAGACAACTGATATAAATACATGTATACTTTTTTTTTTGTAAATACATACTTATTATACATAGAAACACCCAGACCAAATCAAACATTGAATGTTCATGCACACAAATGTTTGACTTGAGCGGGAGTCGAACCCGCGACCTTTGGAATAGCAGTCCGTTACACAAACCACTACCCATTCGGTCGTCGAATAAACAATATGATCAGACTATCTTCTAAGTAACTGACATATATGTAAATTTAAATGACAAGTGCAGTTTAATAAATCTTAAAATTATGTAAGAATTTTACAAGTAAAACATTACAAATATTACCAACTCAAATGCTGTTTAATAAACGTTTACATGTGCATCTACTAAAAAAAAGGTAAGTTTTTGTCGAAGATTCTTAAATTGAGGGTAGATTTCAAATTTTTTTGAAATTTAAAATGTTTAGAATTTGGTTTTATCATTTTACGGAGTACTTTTCTATTTGTTTGATTCATAAGGAAAATGTGACGGATTTAGAATACGGAATGTCACTACCCCAATACATCCCGTGTCGTAAGAGCCGACTAAGGGCTCAAAACAACGCAGGACACCAGCACTGCAAAAAGAAGGAAAACTTGACACAAATTCTATACCAACCCGTCTGGCCAGCGTGCTATAGTAGGCCAAAACCTCCTTGTAAGGAGAGGCCTGTGTCCAGTAGTAGACTATTAAAGGCTGATAAGTGATAAGGAAAGTCAAAATCATTATCACCTATTTTCGTTGCTGAAAATTCGGCGGTATTTTTGCTGAGCCGAAATTTTTCATTGAACGTAAAATCTGACACATCAAAGCTAAAGTTAATTCTTTTACGAAAAACTCGCTGTTGTCGTTCACTCCTCACTCATCCTCACTTCTTACTCTACTGGTTGTTAGAACCATGTTTCAATATATCACTATTATTATTTTTTACTTATTAAGTTGAGATACAAAATTGTTAAGTTCTGACACAAGGCGAGTCCAGCTCTCGTAATTGTTTTACAATTTACAAAATATGTAAATTTGTAATTACAACTATGAATTCAATAAAACAGTTTTCCTTAATAATAATAGGTCTTTACCTATGAAATTGCCGTTTTGTATGCAATAAGTGAAAGTACTTATTTTTTCAAACTTTTTTATTTCTGTTATTCGAAGTAATCACCCATGCAATCGATGGTGAGTATGGCGGATGAGGGAGAGCTTCCAACCCCAGCTCTTGCAGCTTGGAGACTGTCTGTTGCGCAGTATGGGGTCGCTCGTTGTCGTGAAGGAGCAGTGTGGACGACCAATTGACCAAAGCTGGTTGCAGATGTGACCACCAGACCTTGCACCTACCGACTATTACTTTTTCCCAAATTTAGACAACTTTTTAGTGGGTAAAAAATTCAATTCCCGAGAGGCAGTACAAAATGCCTTTGAAGAGTTTATTGCCTCCCGTCCAGCTGATTTTTACAAGAAGGGCATCAATAAACTGCCAATGCGTTGGCAAAGATGCGTCGATTGCAACTATGAATAATAACATGAAATACATTTCATACCTACTTGAATTTATGATGATGATGTGATTTATTTTGGTGTTGGTGTATGTTTCGGTGTTCGGTATTTAGGAACGAAGTTCCTTATTGAGCGTTACACGCTCTGAGCGGATGGGACTAAGACAGAAAAATGTGTAACAAGACTTTTTTCAGACACTTGCGAAACTTAAACTAGTTTAAAATTTGCAAAAATCCTTTTAAAATTTTTTTTGAGACGAACCCAACAATACTAACAACAAAAAAGAGCACTAAATACATACAGTGGAACATAGAACCTCCTCCTCTTTGAAGTTGGTTAATAATCCAGCAGCAATCGCGGTTGTGCTGTCATTTTCATCATCAGATCTATATGAAATTTAAATCTGATCATTTCTTAATGAACCCCTTTCGATCAAAAAAAAACAGTTTTGAAAATCCGTCTATATATGACGGAGTTATGCCCAAATACATAAAAAAAATTAAACATCGGAATTGATAACCTCCTTTTTGAAGTTGGTTAAAATTGTGTCAGCTGTTGTGTGTCCACTGCTGCATACAGCCTTAAAAAAAGAAATACCTGCATCCGTATTACTTTGACGTCATCATCATCCATACCCCTTCTTTTTTTTAAATATAAAGTAGAAGAGAAAGGAAGTTTTGGCCTACTATGCCACGCTGGCCCAAACTTGAAACAAACCCTATACCAACCTGTCTTGGTATAGGGTTTGTTTCAAGTTTTCTTTCTCTTGCTGTGCAGTGCTGTTGTCCTGCGTATTTTGCTCCCTTAGTCGGCTCTTACGACATCCACGGGATGAATAGGGGTGGTGACACTCTGTATTCTTAATCCGTCACAAAATGTGATAATAATTCACGAATTTATGCATATATTTCAATGAGCATTTAAAGAGAAATAACTCGCTATGATTTACCATATGAATTCACTATAAAATACCGTATTCCAAATTTAACCACATTCAAGATATTGAACTTTAAGATTTTTTATAATTTAAATTTAAATTTTGCCTAATACAATTTTTTGGAACTGATATCCTTTATTTTATGCTTTTTTACTGTTTTTGTGTAGTTAATAAATTGTTTTATAGTTTCCATTACTATAAAAATTTATATAATTATATTTATAAAATTGCAAATCAGTGTCAGAAGCGCAAATCAAAGTCCAGTTAGCAATAGTTATAAAAATATAAAAGGCCATCATCATCACATCATCAACAGCCTTTAATAGTCCACTGCTCGACATAAGCCTCTCCTTAGAAAGGAGGTTTTGGCCTACTATACCACGCTGGCCAGACGGGTTGGTATAGGGTTTGTGTCAAGTTTTCCTTCTCTTTGCAGTGCTGTTGCTCTGCGTAGTTTTCTCCCTTAGTCGTCTCTTACGATACCCACGGGATGAATAGGGGTGGTGACACTTTGTATTCTTAATCCGTCACCACACGGACATGATGTGATGATGATGATGATGAGATATGGTATTTTATAGTGAAATCTATCAGAAACTAGCTAACCTCGCAAACATTTTTTTGCCATATTCATAAAATAATAATAAAATGTCAAAATAATAATAAAAAATATTTAGGGGTGGGTCGGGTCATCCTTAACATTTAAGGGTATGAAAAACAGATATTTACCGATTCTCAGACCTACCCGATATGCACACAAAATTTAAAAAAAAAACGGTCCTGCCGTTTCGGAGGAGTTTAGTAACAAACACCGCGACACGAGAATTTTATATATTAGATGAACAGAAAACTACCACCCCTTAAAGTATCTAGGTTGACTACCCAGTAACCCTGTATGTGTACATAATATTTAATGAAATAGTGCCGATTTATGTTTATGTCAATTCAATTGTTCTGAATGTACAGGTCCTTTTTTTCATCATCATCATCAACAGCCTTTAACAGTCCACTGCTGGACATAGGCCTCTCCTTAGAAAGGAGGTTTTTTGTGCTACATATTTTATTTTGTTGTCAAATCAGCAATTTAATATACAATACACTTTTATTTAAATGTAATTTAGTTGTTTTAAATTTATTAAAACTTACAATAAAAAATATTAATTTTTCTGTTTATCAATTAATGAAAATATTTAATTATTATTATTTAAGAGTTAATTTTTTGCAAAATTTTACTAACTTTTGCACAGAAGCATTTATACAATAATTGCACTAATATGTTGTCTTCAGTTTTGTAAAGATAATAGCTCAAACATTTTATCATTGCAGATGACATGCGCAAGATGCTGCAAGAGAAAGAACAGCTGGAATCAGAGATCTTAGGTCTGAGGGCTGAATGCCAACAGCTGCAGACCCTCAATGAGAATCAAAAATCTGAAATGCAGAATTTGCAGTTGCTTGTCAGTGGTATGTAGAAAACCTTCTGAACGAATACTTCTTTGAGATGTGAGATATATTATGTTGACAATATAAACGAGCAGACGAGTCCCCTGATGGTAAGTGAGTACCGACGCAAATGGACGCCTGCTACTCTTGAGTCACAAGTACCTTGTTTTCCTTATTTACTTTTAGTATTTTTATAAAGGCATCTAATGATTAAAAATAAAACAAAACCCGAAATAATGAAAACGTACTTACCGGCGGTTTTAATTTTTATAATAATAATAATATTGTACCACATTCACACAACGCCATCTAGTCCCAAGCTAAGCAGAGCTTGTGCTATGGGTACTAGACAAGTGATATAAATACATTTATACTTTTTTTTTGCAAATACATACATATTATACATAGAAACACCCGGACCAAATCAAACATTAAATGTTCAAGCACACAAATGTTTGATTTGAGCGGGAATTGAACCCGCGAACTTTGGCGTGGCACATACACCCATCGTCACTCTCACAATTAAGACGAATCTAACGACACCTTAAACTCCAAAACAGTCAAGCCATTTAGGCTACAGAGTGTACCAAAGGAACATACATACATCCACTTGACAAAAATAACGCACCTTTGTGCAGAGTCGAGTAAAAAGAAAAAGAAAAACTGTCCTATAAAAAAGTTTTGTACACAAATACAATTTTGTCAAGGTTTTACGATATTCTATTTGCATCCTAACAGGAAAAACCTTTTATAAAATTGTAACGATTTTTTTAACTACTCGAACAAAACGGCCTGTTATCAAATTAATTATATTTATATCGCTAATGTACACATTTCACAATATTAATGTTTTATTTGATGAAGTAAGTGCATCATGTTACCATCATTCTGCTTAGGCTGGGGCACTTCAGGTAATTTGTTTATTTATTGTACAAGTTTTAACACTTCACAGTGGCAACATAGGAATTAAAAATTTAAATTAGTCAAGGTTATGATTGCTTTGTTTTTTTTTTTTGTTAAAATAGTGCACAGTGCTTGTTGGATCACGCTCTGTGTACAGTTCTGTGTTGTATTACTGTTATTTTTGATCAGGGAATAACTTATCGTAAGTGTTTTTTATTGAAGGATTTTGATGTTTTGTTACGAAATTTTCAGAGTCTTTTTATTTCTATTACCTTGGTGGCTATAATCTTAAACTAACAGTGTTAGCTGTAACTCTTTTCTTTTTGTCAATCCGTAATATACAGTCCCACACTGTTTTTTTTTCAAATTTTTCAACGTTTTTTCAACTAGTCTTAGTAATACTTCACTATTTTAGTACAAAAATACCTTTTATTTATTTGAAACTTAATGCAAATGTTGTACAAAGGCGGCCATTAGACATTCTCTCCCAGTCAACCTTCAGGTAATGTAGTAATATGATGCGGTAGGTGCAAAATAAAATGTTAAATTTAACATAATTGAAGTCCAGAGACAGAGTACACAATATATAAACACACATACATAGATAAACCTACATAAATTTAATAAAATATATAAATACTCAGTCGGGTACTAGCGTTGTGACTGTTCTGCCAATTCACTCCGAAGAAGATCGCGCACTTTCCTCTTGAATGCAAGGCGGTTTGTGGACATCCTGATTTCGGCAGGGAGGGCATTCCAGAGAAGAACTTTTAATAAAAGTTACGAGATCAAGAGTTGATCGGAATAGATTTTTTATCGAATTTTCATTACGAGAATTGGACTTCAGTTTAACTTGTGAAGGGGGGAGGGGGGGCAATAACAAACGTGAAGGTTACTATCTCGCTATATCGATCAGACAACAGTATCTTGTATTTATATCTATTATTTAAAAATACGTTTACGTATGTATTTTCTTTTGTGTACTAATTTAAGCTTTTAGTAATAATTCTTTTTTTTTCTTTCTTTTTTAGTTTCAATTATTACTATACTAGCTATTCCCGCAGCTCCGCCCGCGTGTATTTCGGTTATCGCGGTAAAAAATAGCCTACGTTACTCGCTAATAGTGTAGCTTTCAATTGGTGAAATAATTTTTATAATCGGTTTAGTGGTTTAGGCGTGACAGCGTAACAAACAAACTTACTGTCACATTTAAAATATAAGTATTGTTCAAGTGCAAACTGAACATATAATACTTTTTTGAACTTCGATAGATGGCGTTGTTCCTTTTACCTGAATCGCGTTATTGTTTCGCTCAACCTAGTGTTATAAGATGAACTGTATTATTTTTTAAGGAACCATCCTTAGGTAACTATACAATATTTTAGAACAAGTAACAAGTTGTAGTTTTATTCACTCGACTTAGTTACCCCTACCGGTGCAATTGTGTTGTTCCCGATTAAATACGAGACACTCTTGGTATTTACGAAGTATGGATGATGACTACAGGTGGAGTGTACCCCACTCGAGTCTCTTGAAGGTCCAAAATGAAACAGATAGTGAGGTATTACTACAATATATGAATCTTCCATTTATGATATTTTTGCAGAAACAGTAGAGGCGTTGTCATCAGGGACAGAAGAGGTCCGGCGGTTGCGCGCCAGGAACATGGAGTTGGAACAACATCTGAATCAGTTGAGACAACAGCAGCAGGTTGGTCACGCACGTTTAAATACCTAGTACAGTATAATAGTAGCACTGGAAACCTTATAAACTCGGTTAAGGCAAACAAAGAATTGCTTGATATCAGTTTTCTATAACGCCGTGGCATTACTCTGGTCCGTGTGGTGACGGATTAAGAATACAGAGTGTCACCCCTATTCATCCCGTGGGTGTCGTAAGAGCCGACTAAGGGAAAAAACTAAGCAGGACAACAGCACTGCAGAGAGAAGGAAAACTTGACACAAACCCTTTACCAACCCGTCTGGCCAGCGTGGTATAGTAGGCCAAAACCTCCTTTCTCAGGAGAGGCTTATGTCCAGCAGTGGACTATTAAAGGCTGTTGATGATTACTCTGGTCCAGCCTGTCCCAAATGTGCCAAACAATGACTCCTATGATAAAAAAATCTCTCTGTCATCTAATTTTTATTATGAATTAAAGTAAATATTAATTCTGTAATACATATGTATTGTAAGAATTAAATATATCGCACTTAGGACCTGTAATGTTTTGTCAGTGTGTAGACTGCTTCGGTGGTACAGTGGTAGCGTATGCGACTGCTGTGCTGAGGTCTCGGGTTCGATTCCTGGGTCGGATGTCGATGTTTGTATGATCTGCAAATATTTGTTTCGGAGTTTGGATGTTTTCTGTGTATAATATGTATGTATTTACAGAAACAAGTATTCTATAAGTTAATCTAGCTTTCATAGTACAAGCTCTGCTTAGTATGGAAGTGATGGCGTTGTGTGTCAGTCCGAAATATTGTTATGTGTCCTTAGTGCTTCCCTGTTTAATATGGTGTATCTCTGCTTTTACTTCATGTTTAACCTATTTCCAAAAAGGAGGAGGTTCTCAATTCACCGGAATCTTTTTTTTTTAAGTATGCTCACCGATTACTCGAAGACGCCTAAACCGATTTGGATTTTTTTTTTTTTGTTTTAAAGGGTATGCTTCCCAAGTGGTCCCATTTAAATTTTATTGAAATCGGTCAAGCGGTTTCGGAAATATCAACGAAAACCTTAAAATTGTATACATTGATGATATTCTTGTTTCCTTACGAAACTTTGCTGTTTCATTGGAGCAGTGCGTTTAGTTGGTCTTTGTTAGTTGGTTTGAAGTCAGTTCAACGATTTTTTTGTCTTCCGCTTTTCTAAGGAGGAAAGTGCATTTATTATATTACCAACTCTTCCAGCTTACTTCTGATTAATTCCGTTGCGGGTTCAAAGACAGTTTAACTTATCTAGGAACTGCCCGAGTATGTGAACTCAGTGTTTACGTGGGTCACTGCTGTTGATACCGGTGTACAGGGGTTACATTGGTAGGCGTGTGGGAGAGATTAGTCCAAAATAAATAACACTTTATTTCCAACCCTCAAGTCTCACTGTTTCAACCCACTTGTTGTCACAAGTTCGATCGGCACTGATTACTTCTTGTCTACCTGTAAAACTTAAATGTCTCCTAATATATTCTTCACTTCTTCTTATCATAATAGTCTATAATATATAATCAATTGTAACACTGTATTTAAATACCTACCACATTGTTGGTTTGAGCAACTGCTGTACAAAGTTTAACAATGTCGTATTTGCCTTAACAAATTTGTATTACACAGCTTGAGTTCAAGTAACTTAAGTAAACAGGGTAGTACGTAACAGCATATTATCTGTTGAATATTAACGCGGGAGCGACGCACGCGTCGGTTATCTGACTGAAATAAGCATGTGGTTACTGTGTTTTTACGTTATTTATAGGGATCTGTTTCTCGAAAGGAAAAAGGAACCGTTAAATCACTTAGATGTCCGCCTGCGACTGTTCTTTTTCTCAAGAATGCTTAGAGATATCAAGTCGAAGTTAACACTGAGTAATCATTTTTAGGGTTCCGTACCTCAAAAGGTAAAAGAGGAATCCTTATAAGATCACTTTCTTGTCCGTCTGTCTGTGTGTCAACACCGATTTTCTCAGGAACGGGTAGACCTAGCAAGTTGAAATTTATACCAGATACTGAGGTCTATGGTCCCTATTAGGTATATAAAAATCGAGGTCCTGAGTCAACATGATAAAAAGATATTAAATAAAAGAAAAAGGAATAATTCCATAAAATAGAAAAGTTGTAAATTAAGTTAAATTTTGGTACTTACAAATTTTCACAGAAATCCACGTAACATCTGGGTAGGACCGTTTTTTTTAAAAATTAAATTACTGCAATAAAGACAGTAATTCACTAAGAATAACTTCTTTTACGAGACTTTTATCTTCTTCGAGTCTTACGAAAAAGTAATTCCTTTATCTAATCTTTAAAAAAAGCAAAAAATACCATTTACGTTATACACCTTGTATAAACACCATTATAACTGTATCTTTTATCCATGTCGCCCCCATAACTCCAACGCCTTATCTTTTGTTTTATCACCAAATTAGCATACACTTGGCACCACCACGTAAAGACTGTGTTAAGTAATAAGCTGCTACAACTTCAAATTATCAGAAATACGACTCATTTCTTTCTTATCCGCCACTATAAGTGAACTTCTTTTGATATCTGGAGGGTTTTCTACAAAAATCATCCAAGTACAGTCATTTTAGGTTTGAGTTACGGCATTTTTAAATGTAGTAGTAAATTCTTTATAAATTAAACCGTGGGAGAGCAGAGCCGGACTGGCCGGAGTGATACCATAATACGCCCTTATGGAAAACCCTTGTCGAACAATTCTGTCGTGGCGTTTTATGGAGACCGAAGTTCCGGAGACCCTTTCCATCTCAATCTGGTGAATGGTCGAACCTAAGGCTGGCTTTTGTGCCTCTTAATGCCCTCTGCTCGTGTCTCCTATACTCTAAATACCCTTGTTTGTACTACTACCTACTAAAGAATTTCATACAACTTTGTTAGGTATATACTTTTAAAACATCATAAATAAATTGACTGCACTTAGCAGGTTTTTGTAGTAAACTAAACTAAAAGTATTTAAATTACAATTCTAACGATTTATCCTTATAATTTTAGTAATTGCTGAAGACAGAGAAACCCACCTGCATAATTTTGATATTTATATTAATATCAGACAAGATTGTGATAGACGAACGCATTATTATATAGTTCGAAGTGTCACACGCAGTGTTTGCTTCATGTAGTGTATACAGACCTGTGTACTCATCCAACTTTGGGTCATTCTGTACTCGTGGAGTGTTCAAGTCAGTAACAATAGTGAAAAATCTGATATTATTACCACGAATACTTGCCGGAGTTATGAGCATTTTACCAATTCCTTAGAACATCGATTTCTCAGTTACCTATATTCATATGTATTTAGTTACAAATGAAGTTTCACAGAAAAATTAAGTGTAATATAATTTGCTAATACTTCTGTAAAAAAAAGTTACTCACGAATGTAAACCAATTTAGTTTAAATACATCGATCACATTTTAATCAATGGATATAAATATGCTTATGAACGCGCGCGCTATGTGGCAGGAGGTATCGTTGGCGCCGGCCACCTTTGTACGCACGCTTGCAAGAAAACTCGGAGCCGAGGCGGAGGAACAGCCACAACCTAGGAAGGTATGTATAATATTTGCTAATTGTTGTGGCGACTTTTTATGAATTTTCTCCTAAACGATCAAAGTAAACAGTATCACAAGCAAACTTTGTAATTTAAATAAGTTGGTTCCATCACACTACCCTGCAGAACCCCAAACTGTAGACATGAGGAATGTTATGACTTACAAGTATGTGTTTGTATTAAACCAAAACATAAAATCTAACACTCCGAATAATCTAAAGAATCATGAAGCTTAGTAGTTACAAGTTTACTAATTTAGTAAGTTATTACTTTTCAATAAGTTACACTGTCACTCTGTCGAAGGCTTTCGCGAGTTCATAGTAAAGTAGGGTATATCGTCTTTGCTAGAAAATTGGTTAAGTCTAGGACAGTACTAAAAATCGATTTAGAATTCTGTCTTCCAGATATTTTAATAGTCTTATATTGATGATGTTTTCTAAAAACAAAAATAGGCAGTGATTGGCTGAGAATTAATGACACAATACCTGTACCGACTTTTGCATAAACCCATATTTTACTTGTGATGTCTAGTCAACACTATGTAACTATGATTCAGAGGATACGCATTCAATTCCATTAGTTTATAGAATAGTCTCGTCTTTGTTTTAATATCTTTAGCGCTGCCACACCAATCCACGACATTTCTTGTAATACGATATGTTTTGTTTAGAACGTTGAAGACAATGAACTCCTACGGTCCATCATTGAGCCCCTCGAAATGGAAATTGCAGCTCTCAAGAACAAACTGCGCGAAACCGATGCTCAACTACAGGACGCACTTGCGGTGAGAGATCACACATTTAATACGACACAGGACCTATCATATTTAGTCTTAAGCATAATATAATCACGCTGTTTTATTAACTTCAATCCTTTATTTTTGTGTGAGAAGAGAGACTTAGGAGTCCTCTGTAGGGGAAGAAGAATTTTATAAAGATTATCAATCAGATCAGAGCTGATTGTCTTGTTTCAAAGACTTCGATTTTCAAAATCGAACTACTACTATAACTGATTGGCTGATTTTTACACACTTTATGTTTCTCTTCTTCTTCTTCTTTAAACTTAAAGAAGAAGAAGAAGCAGTAGTGTCGAATATGTTAATAATTTTTTCTTTGATAAAAAGTAGTCTAAAGTACTGTTCCAGACAATAATCATCTCTGTTCTGTGCTGTGCTCTGTGCAGACTGTAAGCAATTCTTCTCAATATCCGTTTAGTTGTTCTAGCGTGATTGTAAAAACTTGTTGAAGAAGAATAAATGTTATTTTTTTGCAGAAAGCGAAAGCCTCAAACGCTGCCCCCAGCGGAGACACGAAGCAGGAACCGGAGCACGTGGCCCGGCAATGCGACATGTGTGCCAACTACGAGAAGCAGCTCGTGTCGGAGCAGGCTAAGGCTGACGCTTCCAAAGACCGCGCCTCCACACTTGAACTGGCACTCAAACAGGTAGCTGCGTCTAAGGCAATTGTTACTAAATTTTAAAACAGGCGATTACTATTTGTAGCACAAAAACGCTGTATAAGGGCTGTGCTTAATCTGCAGGTAACCGACTCGTGTGTATCATATTTCAAAAAACTTGACATTATAACCTTGACAAGTCTATACATTCTGGAGGTTGCATTATTTGTTAAGAATAATCCTGAGCTATTTAACTATCGTCAAGGCAAGGCATATGTACGTGGGTGACGGATTAAGAATACGGATTGTCACCAGCCCCAATCATCCCGTGGGTGTCGTAAGAGCCGACTTAGAGAGCAAACTAAGCAGGACCACAACACTGCAAACTTGACACAAACCCTATACCAACCCGTCTGGCCAGCGTGGTATAGTAGGCCAAAACCTCCTTTCTAAGGAGAGGCCTATGTCCAGCAGTGGACTGATAAAGGCTGTTGATGATGATCAAGGTATAAGACATAAGGATAAATTGCACATAGTTGCTGCAAGACACATCTGATACATGAAAGTATATTCTGTACAGCTTCGCGTATATACAACAATATTCCAAGAGACATCAGGAAGGCTAAAGAAATTACCATGTTTAAAAAGAAACTACATGACTTGTTGCTAAATAAATGTTATAATACGGCCAAAGATTACATGACCGACAGGTCTCTGCTCCATTTCTCTATACCCCAGTCATGATGCGTCCAGTGAACCCTACTCTTATTATTGCCTGTTTGCAAATTCTGTTAAAATGTGATCCATATTGAATTAACAAATTTTATTATTCATTTCATGTACCTATATTATAATAATTTTATTTATTGGGCGGGACATAGCCGGACTAAATACCGATAACTATATCGCACCTTTAATAATAAACTGAATTAATTCAAAATTTACGTTTTTCGAGTTTTCAACAAGCACCAAATCAACTTCATCAGTAGAACACGAACAATCCAACAGCCGACTCGATACCATGAAAATGGCAGAGATAAGAGATCGTCGTTCTCTTTTTGACGAACTCGCACGTACATGAATGTCAAACTTTAAATACGATTTCCCACAATATTGAAATTCTAAGTTAATTCAATTTATGAATAAAGGTGCGATATCATCTATATAATGTACCTATGATCTACAGTAAAAAATACTTACTACGGCCTGGCAAGAGAAGGAAAACTTGAAACAAACCCTATACCAACCCGTCTGGCCATCGAGGTATAGTAAGCCAATACCTCGTTTCTAAGGAGAGGCTTTTGTCCAGCAGTAGACCATTAAAAGCTGTTTGCTAGTAAATATTATATTTACACTGGTTGGAGTCGTACAACACACTAATAATAAATAATAATAATATTCTACCACATTCACACAACGCCATCTAGTCCCAAACTAAGCAGAGCTTGTATTATGGGTACTAGACAACTGATATAAATACATATATCCTTTTTTTTGTAAATACATACTTATTAAACATAGAAACACCCAGACCAAATCAAACATTAAATGTTCATGCACACAAATGTTTGACTTGAGCGGGAATCGAACCCGCGACCTTTGGAATAGCAGTCCGTTACACAAACCACTACGCCATTCGGTCGTCACTATAATAACAGTTTAACTTGTGTGTCTATGCGACAGGCTACAGAGGAATTGGAGGGCGTGCGATCTTTGCATGACGAGACGGTGCGGTCCTGGCACACGGAACGGGCTGCCAGCGGACAGCAGCTGCAAGAGTTGCAGGCCGCTGTGGAGCAGCTGCGGCAAGTGCTGCAGCAGCGTGCAGCGGCTGCAGACCAGGCCTCGCAGCGCGCTCTGCTCACCGTTACTGAGCTCACGGTAGAGCGAGAGACGTTGCACAAGAAACTCGACAGGTCAGTCTTTACACGGCCCTAGGTATACACAATTACGATTGATATTAAATGCTGTGTCCATTGAAATCTCTAGTATTCTATTATGAACGTCTGAACATATAATTTATTGAAGTATGAGTAAGGATACCTCTGGCCCAAGTAGTATTAAGCAGTTAGGGTGGACACAGAAATCAGCACTGGGATGGACTATGTCCATCACAGTGAATTCTGAGGGTCTACCTATTTTGTGTGACAGTGCGCAACCCACATCAACACAAGTAACTAAATTAATTTAAAGGGTTAGTTGGTTACAATATACATAATAATATGTAGGTAAGGTATAATTGGGTATTATTTTTATTTTCTCTTTTACTGACCGAACCAATTTTTTATAGCAAATTTACACATAAATTTCAACTGTTTAGATTTTTATATCTATTTACATTAATTACCTCTATAAATTCGGCTTATAACCATCTTCGCTTTTAGGCAGTTACTAATTTAACCGATAAATTATCAAATACAAAAAAAAAGAAGTTATATATCAATAAATTATATTTTAAAACAACTTAAAAACACACTTTTGTTACTAGCCCAACTAAAAAATAGAAAATAATTTTCTATAAGTTCAAGTCCAAGTCCGTATGGTGAGGGATTAAGAATACAGAGGGTCACCACCCTTATTCATCCCGTGGGTGTTGTAAGAGCCGACTAAGGAAGCAAACTACGCAGGACAACAGCACTGCAGAGAGAAGGAAAACTTGAAACAAACCCTATATCTACCCGTCTGGCCAGCGTGGTATAGTAGGCCAAAACCTCCTTTCTAAGGAGAGGTCTATGTTCAGCAGTGGAATATTAAAGGCTGTTGATGTCCAAACAGAAAAATAATTTTATCGTAAAAAGCGTGGGGTGGTTTTCAAGGTATTTTATAATATAAAACTTTACTTATACCAATATCTGTCAGTAAAATATTTTTACAACAATTGAGACTCGCACCCACGCTTTTTTACGGTAAAACGATTTTTCTTTCTAAACTTATAGAAAATTATTTACTACTTTTTAGATCCTCTAGCTACAAAAGCATTTTAAACTTTTAATTTTGTTTTTATTAGTCATTAATGATGATTATTTTCTCATTAAGATAAAAAAGTAACAAGTAAGGAGAATATTATAATGCTTTAGCACTTACCTCTTAGTACTTAGCAAAAGACCCTACTGTATGTTTAGTTATGGAAAAAGCCGTTAATCCTAAAGATCCTGATCAGGATAATCGTCCAAATTTATCAAATTAATTGTATTATCATCGGTCCTTGATAAGTGTGCGAAGTTTTAATTTGATTCGACGCTTTATATACCAGGCTAATAAAAGCGTGTTAAAAATAAAATATCCCTAAAATATTTAATAGTTTACGTTATTAATAATAATAGTAGTAGGTACATCATATGTCCCACACACGGCCGTCTGATCCCAAACTAGGCAGAGGCTGTACTATGGTAACCAGACTGCTGATAAACATACTTATAAACATTTAAATACATATACATTATAGATAAATTACACCCAGACAGAGAACAAATGACCGTGCTCATCACACAATATTTGCCCTGGGTGGTAATCGAACCCACGACCTCTGGCATTGCAGTCAGGATCACTAACCACTACACCAACATGCCCGTGACTGCTAGACCCGCTATGACCTTAAAATATAATAACGCCCCTTTCTTATTTGTCTGTTACAGTTTAGAGCGAGACAACGCGATGCTGATCGGACAGTACACGAAGAAAGCGGCCGAAATGCAGAACGAAGTTATCGATCTCCCTGACAATGTGGAAGTGAGTCTGATATACAGGGTGTAAGGGACGTCGTAACGAATACTGAAATAGTGTATTCAGACCATCATTCTGAGTCGAAAATCATTCGAACTATTTTTCATTCGTTAAGTAAATGAAAAAGAATTATAATTGAGCGCAACGCAATTACTAGAATCTATTTCGTTAAATCATCATTTAAAAGTAGATAAAAGAAACCACCTAATACACCCTTTATAACTATTTTTAATTCATTATGTAAATGAAAATAATAATAATAATTGAGCAACAACGCAATTACTAGAATCTATTCCGTTAAATCATTTTAAAGTAAATAAAAAGAAACCATCCTTTTTTTATTTGGTAACACTCATCAATAGCTAAACAACAAAAAAATCTAATTTTGTAATAGAGAAAAAAAAACATTACAGAAAAAAAATATTTTTTAATGAAAAGCAACAATTAAAATACCTATTAAAATTTTATTACTGTTTCAAATAAGTGACGAATTTAACTAAAAATTAATCGAACTAAAAGAGTTGTACTCACACAGCACTTTATTATCAGATCAATGTACCCAGACCAATCAATTAGACTCGTCAAAGCCCAAACTCGCAAAGTTTCCACCTGCCACTGAAGAGTTTTACCATCCAACTCCTGGCTCCATCATCAGATTAACTCCAAGATGCCAAATTATAGTATGGTCATCCAAACTACCTATAATTCTAAGTTTCATTTCATACCGACAATAAGTACGTTAAAATTTACTTACTTACATAATGAGCGACAAATGAAGTTAACAGCTAGTGTTTAAGAGTAAACTGTAACAGAATTTTAATCTGTTTTTTTTTTCATTTAAGTGCTATGATTATGGATATATTATCTTGATGTCTATTATGGAGTTTGGATTGTAAGTTTCCTATTGTGACATTACTGATTTTTATTACCTAATGTTAAGACTTAAAATTAGTATTATTGCGGATTGAGTCTAAAAGCATGTTTCTTAGTTTAATACAAAAAATGTTTGCACGCCACTGGTAAAATATGGTTGAGCTTCAATGTACTGTAACACCTATCAGCGTTATAAAACAATCAGAGGACAAAATCATCTATATATAAATTTAAATATTTGTACTGAACCAATATTTGTTTGTCAGGAGCTCCAAGAGCACATGCTCCGTCTGAGAGAGCAGCTCATCTTCTGCCAAATCGGAAGAGAGGAGGCTGTGGAGTCAGAGCGGGAGCTTCGGACCCAGCTGCTGGAGCAGGGCGCCCTGTTCCATCAGCAAGAGGCACAGCTCAGCGATCTCAGACAACGACTCAGCGAAGCTGGGTCTGTAGTGTTATAATTTTCGGGATTTTCTATTTGTGTATTAAAATTATTAATTTCTGCATGAAGCAGGCATTAATAATTTTAGTATTTGCTCAAAATTTGTATTCGACCAAACTTTTTAACCAGGAGTTGTTAAAACACAGTAAGTATCCACTCTTTATTACACACAGCGCATGCACATATCTAGGGGTAGGCAGAGACGAATAAAACATCAATATTTTTTCAGTAATAGCTTTAGTCCGGCTTACCTAATAGGGAATAAGCTTAATGATGTGAACAGAGTAGAGATTAGAATGAAAGTTGGGTGTATGGTGATAGGAATGATAGCAAATTGATATCAGGGAGTGTGAGCAGTAGCACCTCGCCTTCTTTTGGTATAAGAAGCAACCGAGCAGAGACTACAACTCAAGAGACACTAGTGCGTTGCCACCCTTTAAGAGCCCAAACTCCCTCTTTCTCAAGAATGGGGGTTTGGACTCTGGTAAGAGTTTTAATGTGAAACCGTAGTATCACTGGAGGTTAGTTGGCCCATATGTGAAGAAGCATGAGTCTCCCAGTGTCCCATCTCTGTGGTTGCTAGTATTTTGATCAACCCCTCAACCTGTACCATTAAGAGTAAATTCCTGTCAACAATATACTAATATGGGGTAACCGGACGCCTCAATAATGCGGGTTATATTGATTACAGCCAAGAGGTAGACCGGTTGCAAACAGAACACGAGCAGATGAAAGAGTTGGGAGATAAACTGCGTCACTCCAACGACATGATCGAACAACTCCTGGAGGACAAGAAACGGCTCCAGGGCGAGGTGCACGAGGTGCGGAACAGGGTGTCTGTGCTGCAGCAGGAACTTGATAACAGCGAGAAGGTTCAACAGGACTTTGTGAGACTCTCGCAGTCGCTACAGGTGAATAATTACGTCAATGTGCTTATGGTCAAAAAACAAACTAAAATGGTTAAAATAAAACCATGGCTAAACCAGAAATGATACCAGGGGAACGAGATATATAACAATTTAGCTTTACTAGATGTCAACAGCCTTTAATAGTCCACTGCTGGACATGGGCCTCTTCTTAGAAAAGAGGTTTTGGCTTACTATACCACGCTGGCCAGACGGGTTGGTATTGGGTTTGTGTCAAGTTTTCCTTCTCTTTGCAGTGCTGTTGTCTTGAGTAGTTTGCTCCCTTAGTCGGCTCTTACGACACTCACGGGATGAATAGGGGTGGTGACATTGTGTTTTCTTAATCCGTCACCTCACGGAATAATTATTGATAACAAAAAATCTTAATTGGTAACACAGAAGTTTGTGAAGTCGTATCTAGAAACGAAAAAAAAGAAAGTTACATTCGTTGATAAAACAGTCGATTTTTACAGCTTTAACTTAAGGTCGGCCTTCCTGCTGCGCTACGTGCGTTCGATCGCATGGGAAAACACTCTGTGTAATTCACAAATCGTTGTTCCGAGTCTGGGTGTTCTTTGCGTTCGTCTCAAGTATGTCCGTAAAGTCCCCCGCGACACAGGAAATATTCCTAGTGCAGGAGTTGTCTTTTTAAAAAAGAATATCGATTTGACAATGGCAAGAAATGACGTCACAACTCAGCATCAATATAGTAAAATGTGTGCTCGTTAGGTGCAACTGCAACGTATCCGTGAGGCGGACACGGAAGTGCGGTGGCAACACGCGGACGACGTGCACGACTGCCCATCCTGCCACACACACCTACCTAACATTAAGAAAAAGGTAAGAATAATGTAGGAAACACTTCGACGACAAACATTGCGCGATTTAACTCCTGATGTAGATCAAGCCGATGGTCCTTCGGGCCAATAATATATTTTATATATTTAATCTAAAACAATGATGCCTCACATAGCTATTAGTTATTGTTAGCGAGAGAGTTTAATAACCAACGGATCTTACTTGCACGCAATTCAAGAAGAAAATAACAAGCATTTAGATTATGTATTGCTTCAAGTCAAATCACCTGACAACTCCTACAGAAGAATCCAAAAAACCTACCAAAAAAAATAATTGGGACAATAATTGTGTTTTGTTTTTGGGTTTTAATAAATTCTAGTTTTGATCATATTTAAATTAAAATAATTAAGCAGGTGCTAACAGCACGTGTGTGTCCATTTGTTTGGTGCTAACAGTACGTAAGTGTTCACTTGTTTGGTGCTAACAGTATGTAAGTGTTCACTTGTTTGGTGCTAAGTACGTGAGTGTTCATTTGTTTAATGCTGACAGTACGTGAGTGTTCACTTGTTTGGTGCTAACAGTACGTAAGTGTTCACTTGTTTGGTGCTAACAGTACGTAAGTGTTCACTTGTTTGGTGCTAAGTACGTGAGTGTTCACTTGTTTGGTGCTGACAGTACGTGAGTGTTCACTTGTTTGGTGCTAAGTACGTAAGTGTTCACTTGTTTGGTGCTAAGTACGTGAGTGTTCATTTGTTTAGTGCTGACAGTACGTGAGTGTTCACTTGTTTGCTGCTAACAGTACGTAAGTGTTCACTTGTTTGGTGCTAACAGTACGTAAGTGTTTACTTGTTTGGTGCTAACAGTACGTAAGTGTTCACTTGTTTGGTGCTAACAGTACGTAAGTGTTCACTTGTTTGGTGCTAACAGTACGTAAGTGTTCACTTGTTTGGTGCTAAGTACGTGAGTGTTCATTTGTTTAGTGCTGACAGTACGTGAGTGTTCACTTGTTTGGTGCTAACAGTACGTAAGTGTTCACTTGTTTGGTGCTAACAGTACGTAAGTGTTTACTTGTTTGGTGCTAACAGTACGTAAGTGTTCACTTGTTTGGTGCTAACAGTACGTAAGTGTTCACTTGTTTGGTGCTAAGTACGTGAGTGTTCATTTGTTTAGTGCTGACAGTACGTAAATGTTCACTTGTTTGGTGCTAACAGTACGTAAGTGTTCACTTGTTTGGTGCTAACAGTACGTGAGTGTTCATTTGTTTAGTGCTAAGTACGTGAGTGTTCACTTGTTTAGTGCTGACAGTACGTGAGTGTTCACTTGTTTGGTGCTAACAGTACGTAAATGTTCACTTGTTTGGTGCTAAGTACGTGAGTGTTCACTTGTTTAGTGCTGACAGTACGTGAGTGTTCACTTGTTTGGTGCTAACAGTACGTAAGTGTTTACTTGTTTGGTGCTAACAGTACGTAAGTGTTCACTTGTTTGGTGCTAACAGTACGTAAGTGTTCACTTGTTTGGTGCTAAGTACGTGAGTGTTCACTTGTTTAGTGCTGACAGTACGTGAGTGTTCACTTGTTTGGTGCTAACAGTACGTAAGTGTTCACTTGTTTGGTGCTAACAGTACGTAAGTGTTCACTTGTTTGGTGCTAAGTACGTGAGTGTTCACTTGTTTGGTGCTAACAGTACGTAAGTGTTCACTTGTTTGGTGCTAAGTACGTGAGTGTTCACTTGTTTGGTGCTAACAGTACGTAAGTGTTCACTTGTTTGGTGCTAAGTACGTGAGTGTTCATTTGTTTAGTGCTGACAGTACGTGAGTGTTCACTTGTTTGGTGCTAACAGTACGTAAGTGTTCACTTGTTTGGTGCTAACAGTACGTAAGTGTTTACTTGTTTGGTGCTAACAGTACGTAAGTGTTCACTTGTTTGGTGCTAACAGTACGTAAGTGTTCACTTGTTTGGTGCTAAGTACGTGAGTGTTCATTTGTTTAGTGCTGACAGTACGTAAATGTTCACTTGTTTGGTGCTAACAATACGTAAGTGTTCACTTGTTTGGTGCTAAGTACGTGAGTGTTCATTTGTTTAGTGCTGACAGTACGTAAATGTTCACTTGTTTGGTGCTAACAGTACGTAAGTGTTCACTTGTTTGGTGCTAACAGTACGTAAGTGTTCACTTGTTTGGTGCTAAGTACGTGAGTGTTCACTTGTTTAGTGCTGACAGTACGTGAGTGTTCACTTGTTTGGTGCTAACAGTACGTAAATGTTCACTTGTTTGGTGCTAACAGTACGTAAATGTTCACTTGTTTGGTGCTAAGTACGTGAGTGTTCACTTGTTTAGTGCTGACAGTACGTGAGTGTTCACTTGTTTGGTGCTAACAGTACGTAAATGTTCACTTGTTTCGTGCTAAGTACGTGAGTGTTCACTTGTTTAGTGCTGACAGTACGTGAGTGTTCACTTGTTTGGTGCTAACAGTACGTAAGTGTTTACTTGTTTGGTGCTAAGTACGTGAGTGTTCACTTGTTTAGTGCTGACAGTACGTGAGTGTTCACTTGTTTGGTGCTAACAGTACGTAAATGTTCACTTGTTTGGTGCTAACAGTACGTAAATGTTCACTTGTTTGGTGCTAAGTACGTGAGTGTTCACTTGTTTAGTGCTGACAGTACGTGAGTGTTCACTTGTTTGGTGCTAACAGTACGTAAATGTTCACTTGTTTGGTGCTAAGTACGTGAGTGTTCATTTGTTTAGTGCTGACAGTACGTGAGTGTTCACTTGTTTGGTGCTAACAGTACGTAAGTGTTCACTTGTTTGGTGCTAAGTACGTGAGTGTTCACTTGTTTAGTGCTGACAGTACGTGAGTGTTCACTTGTTTGGTGCTAACAGTACGTAAGTGTTCACTTGTTTGGTGCTAAGTACGTGAGTGTTCATTTGTTTAGTGCTGACAGTACGTGAGTGTTCACTTGTTTGGTGCTAACAGTACGTAAATGTTCACTTGTTTGGTGCTAAGTACGTGAGTGTTCACTTGTTTAGTGCTGACAGTACGTGAGTGTTCACTTGTTTGGTGCTAACAGTACGTAAGTGTTTACTTGTTTGGTGCTAACAGTACGTAAGTGTTCACTTGTTTGGTGCTAAGTACGTGAGTGTTCATTTGTTTAGTGCTGACAGTACGTGAGTGTTCACTTGTTTGGTGCTAACAGTACGTAAATGTTCACTTGTTTGGTGCTAACAGTACGTAAATGTTCACTTGTTTGGTGCTAAGTACGTGAGTGTTCACTTGTTTAGTGCTGACAGTACGTGAGTGTTCACTTGTTTGGTGCTAACAGTACGTAAGTGTTCACTTGTTTGGTGCTAACAGTACGTAAGTGTTCACTTGTTTGGTGCTAAGTACGTGAGTGTTCACTTGTTTGAAAGGACCCTACGATTCGATGATCGCTGACCGCAGTGTGATTGTTCCAGGTGCACTGCCGTCACTGCGGGCGCATATTCTGCGGCGCGTGCGTGTCGCACGTGGTGGAGTCCGGCCCGCGCCGCGCGCCCTCGCGCGTCTGCTCCGTGTGCCGCACGCTGCTGCAGCCGGACGCCGCGCCCTACTTCAGCACCGACCCGCCGCGCTCGCCCGACTAGCGCCGCCCCCACACACTGGGGGGGGGGGGGGGGGGCACTGCTGCAGCCGGACGCCGCGCCCTACTTCAGCACCGACCCGCCGCGCTCGCCCGACTAGCGCCGCCCCCACACACTGGGGGGGGGGGGGGGGGGGGGGCACTGCTGCAGCCGGACGCCGCGCCCTACTTCAGCACCGACCCGCCGCGCTCGCCCGACTAGCGCCGCCCCCACACACTGGGGGGCGGGGGGGGGGGCACTGCTGCAGCCGGACGCCGCGCCCTACTTCAGCACCGACCCGCCGCGCTCGCCCGACTAGCGCCGCCCCCACACACCGGGGGGCAGGGGGGGGGACACTGCTGCAGCCGGACGCCGCGCCCTACTTCAGCACCGACCCGCCGCGCTCGCCCGACTAGCGCCGCCCCCACACACCGGGGGGCAGGGGGGGGGACACTGCTGCAGCCGGACGCCGCGCCCTACTTCAGCACCGACCCGCCGCGCTCGCCCGACTACACACACTGGGGGGGGGGGGGGGGGCACTGCTGCAGCCGGACGCCGCCCTACTGCTGCGCCACTAAGACAGGACAAGCTCACCTATTGCCACGACACATGAAAGCTTGTCCTCAAAATTTCCCAGAAACCACCTTCGCATTACGCGGCTTTAATTCATATTTCCTCTCTTTACTCAATCAGCTAACCAACCCCTAGTATGAAAACTGCATCTTTACGTCTCTGTTCTGAAGAGTTTATGGTAGTAAATAATTATTTTTACGTCACTTTTTATTCCAAAAACCTATTGAATTTGCCTCTTTTTATAAAATTCCCCTCAATGCTTTTGTTTTCCTTAGTGACCCAGTTCCAGGGTCAACTGACACGAATCTCGTTATTAAGAAGGAAGAAAAGAGAAGAAACAGACATTTTGAATTCGCCATAGCATTTTAAACATAACTTTTATTATGACACAAAGATTTTTCTCACATTGTTTGTTTTATTACAAATATTATTATTACGTTTAACATGTTTCTCAAAATGATCCATCTTGACTTCTCAAGTTTAAAAATCTTATTTTAATTGATGATTTGTATTTACTTGTGCACCAATACTACAAAGTAACCGGTAACTTTTAATTTTTTTAGACTGTTTTGTTTTTAAATTAAAAATGAAATTAATCTAAATCTCTGTGACATTATCACTTCCAATATTTGGTGTAATTTTGTATCTTAAAATGTATAATAATTTGGCTTATTATTTATTTTCAGTCTTATTACATTATAATGTGAGTACCCAAAGGGGAATAAAATGTTAATATTATCTAATTTGAACATAAAGAAAAAAAAATACCCTTCTCTTTTATGTATAAAAATTTAAGCTTTGTCATTTAGGCTTCCAAATTAATTAGTTTTGATTAATTAGTGGCTTATAGTTCATACACTCCAACTAGAAACGATTAGGTCACCCCCTCCCCCCTTCTCTCTCTCTCTCCACTCCCCCATAATTATGTCAATAGACAAGCAGCTGAAGTTACATTTAATTTTGTTGTCCTTAGAAGCAGTTGTACACTATGGTGTTACGTGATAGGAAGGGCATTAGAAATGATCTGTTACGCAATAATGTTGTCTATGATGGGTGCGACCGACGGTCAGTGATACGTGTGCTCACAGCACTACTTAAGTTATGACATACTAGCATAGATTAGTGTAAGAGTTGTAATATAAAATATTTTATTGTAAATAAAAGAGCTACATGTAAAATTAGTTTTTTTTTTTAATGACCCAAGTTTTTAAATCCGTGTAGTGACGGATTCAGAATACGGAATGTCACTACCCCAATTCATCCCGTGAGTGTCGTAAAAGCCGACTAAGGGAGCAAAACAACGCAGGACACCAGCGCTACAAAAAGAAGGTAAACTTGACTCAAACCCTATACCCACCCGTCTGGCCAGCGTGGTATAGTAGGCCAAAACCTCCTTTCTAAGGAGAGGCCTATGTCCAGCAGTGCACTATTAAAGGCTGTTTGATGTGATGGAGTTTTTTTTATAAACCCTTTGTCACTAAATGTCACGCCCTCTACACAGGTCTCCACGTAATTTCATTGACTAAAAATATTACTTAGCAACAGTTACTGTCACTTAAAGAGGAAAAGCAGCATAAACTTCTGCAATAATAGGTTCCGTAGAATTATTCCGTTTATAGCATAAATGGCAGGGTTTTTTAAAGATGTAAATTAAGATAATGTTGATGGTAATGTCCCAATGGCGTCCAATCTAAGCATTCACTGTACTGCAGCTTCAGTGTCCTTAGCCCTAATCGTTTCCCTACTCTAATCTACCCTCTTCCCTAATTGCATCTGAAATCGATTACACTTTCAATGAGGGTTTAAACAAATGAAGTCAAAAATAATATAGGAAAAGGGGGCAGGAAAATGACATTTTAATATAAAACAATCACATATTTTTAAATGCACATCAAAAAACTTATCACCCTTCAACTTATTTACATCAATAAAATATTTTTAACTTAAAAATAATTATTGTAATGCAAAGATACCACATCTTTAATAACATCATTACAACATTATATATTTTCCTTTAATGCGCGACAAAAATGTTGTCCAATGTCCAAAAATATACTGATTGTACATCAAATTGACCAGAGCCTACAAACTTAATACTTACACATGGTATAGTTGACCAGTACCTATAGAACGAGGAAAGAGATGCTTCCAGAAAAGTAGGTTAGAACTATGACGAAAACGGATCCCTATCAGAAACGAGCTGTGACTATAGTCCATCAACGTCGTGCGCGACCGTCCTGCGGGGCGACAGACGGTGGAGGGGACGAGGTACTCAAGATGTCAGCGGGTAGCGGGTGGTGTAGCGGGGAAGGGAAACGCTTCTCTTCGTGTGTAGCCGTGTGCTAGAATGACGCGCTACCTCGCCCCCGCCACTGTCTGTCACCCCGCGGGACGGTCGTGCACGAGATTGCCGGGTTATATTATAGTAGGTTAGGTTTTTTTTATGTTAGAAAAGGCAGACGAGCAGACAGGTTACCTGATGGAAAATGACCATCGCCGCCCATAAACGTCTACAACTCAGGAGTCACAAACGCGTTGAATATAGAAAATAAAAAGTTCCGCATTTCAAATAATAGCGATACGTCACGAACTCGAATTATTGCTTAAATGATAATCATCCACAGCCTCTAATAGTCCACTGCTGGACACAGGCCAACATTATTTTAATTTATGCATCTTTAATAAAACCCTGCCAGTTGTGCTAATAAACGGAATAATAATATTTTGAGGTAACTATTTTGCTGTGCAATCAGTATTTTTGATTAGGATGAGGATTTTTCTATATTATCCCGGATAAGCCTACTGTCCCATATGTCTGCAATGCTCTTTTAGATATAGTTTTCAATGAAATATTTATAAAATGGATAATATATCTAAAATTTTTATATTTTATTTCAATAGCACATTAGCTTGTCACTACAAATCCATCAAATATATTCTGTTAATATGTGCGTAAGTTGAAATATTTTTTTATTTCTACCTACACATGGGACAGTAGGTTTATCTGGGTTAAAAAAAATACAGTTATAGTAAATAAATCTGAATGTGCTAATAAATTAGACAAATACAATTGAAAAAAAAGCCTAAAACGGCATAATTAGCTATCAAATAGTTGACTGCCGTAGCATCTTAAAGGACAATAATGAAATCTGTGGGCAAATAATAATATGTGGGTCGTGTTTAGTGAAGCGTAGTTTTAAATAGCTTATATCTTTCTATAGTCAGCAGCTAACAGGTTTGTTGACATCATTAGAGGGACTTGAAGTGGACAAGTAGTCTCTATCGGCGTCTGTCCGTCCCATCCCTGATAATCCTGTGGTCCCTGACGGAGCTTGGTAGCAGACCTTCATAGTCATACAGTTATATATCTATCTATCTATATATATATTTTATTTTATTTTATAATTTTTAAACATATATATATATATATATATATATATATATATATATATATGAGATCTCTCTGGAACCATTAGAGCTAAAGACTTGAAATTTGGTAGGAATATTCTTTTCACCGAGTAGAGGTCAGCTAAGAACGGATTTTAAGAAATTAAAAAAAACTAATGTAAATAGCAAAACAACGTTTGCAGGGTCAGCTAGTAGATAAATAATACACAAAAATGCTATGTCAACTTAACACTTACTTTATTAATAATCTAAAAAATTCAAAGACATAACCGTCAAATTGAATGATACGGGAATGAACTAATTATCGTATAAAAATATATTATAAATTTTATTTTCACTCGACAAATGTTTCTATCTATCATTCATAATATTAATTATTGGTCTCCCAACATGTTTATACTTTAGTGATGTGATAACTGCTAGCTGAACTAGTCGGGGTACTGTTCCAGGCTGAGGGTCATCACGTCGCTCACCAGACAATCAGCAGGCTGCAAATAATACAGAATAACATGTTAGATATAATGTATCATCAATATTCATTATCAATACTTGCTATCAATAAGCAATCAAGAGCAATCAAGACAACAATATACTTTATTATACGTTCACCAAAGTTTTCAATCTAATAATCTATCAATCCGTGTGACGGATTAAGGCCCGTATTTTAAAAGACGTCTCAAGTGTCGGTTGAACTCTGACTGCCTGAAACTAGTTTTAAGTGCAGATCAAATCTTAAGTATCGATCTTATTATAGAACGCGTTTTAAGTTTTACTCAGTTGAAACTAGTTTCAAGTATTGATTTGAACTCACAGTCTGTTCTCAATTACGTTTCCGCATAATTGACACTATTATTCCGCATTACGCAGCTAATTATTTAAAAAATAATTTTCTTTTACAGAAATAATTTCTGTGACTTTGTATATAATATACTATTGGCTAGTGTAGCAATGTTAACATATTAAAAAGCTTGTTGTTCGTTCAAAATTAAGTATAATAAATATTAAAATAAAAATGACTAGCTGTATGAATAGGCTATAACGGAACGTTCAAGTTATTTATCAACACTTGTCATGTTGAAATGTCAAACGATGTTTGATATGTCTAAAATTTAAATTACTATACTTTTAACATAAACCAAAAGGTTGTAGTAATTTAAACAGGTATTATGTGTGTAAAATGTGAATTTTGGTGAATTTCATATCAATTAAGGTAAATGAAAGTGAAATTGATGATAGTAAGCCAAGTAATTCTTTCGTAAATAAAGTAAAGTAAATCTTTCGTAATTATTCAAAAATAAATCATCGTAAAACACATTCATTTCCCCTAAATGCCCTAGAAATCACCGCTTGAGACTAGTTTCAGCTTGTCTCACGTAAACAAAGATCACAGTTGTCAAAATCTATACCTGAGTAATGATTTCGACATAAACATCGTTCTAAAATAAGCTATCACTCACTTGAGTATGGAGTGTCGAATCTCGTTTTAAGTGACGTTCAATAATAAAATCTCTACTTAAAATTAGTTTTAAGACTAGATTCACGACTGAGACACCTTTTAAAATACGAGCCTAAGAATACGGATGTCACAACCCCTTTTTTTTCCGTGCGGAAATCCCCTCGGATCCACCTATCAGTGGCATATCGGACAAGAACCGACTAAAACCGCACGCCGTCTCGGGTACTAATAGCCGGGGAACCAGGTATCCCCTAGAAAGGATAATAATAATCCCCGTAATGTCACAACCCCTATTCATCCCGTGGGTGTCGTGAGAGCCGACTAAGGGAGCAAACTACGCAGGACAACAGCGCTGCAAAGAGAAGGAAAACTTGACACAAACCCAATACCAACCCGTCTGGCCAGAGTGGTATAGTAGGCCAAAACCTCATTTCTAAGAAGAAGCCCATGTCCAGCAGTGGACTATTTAAGGCTGGCACTTTACGCTATTATGAAAAGTTTCCTAATAGAAAAAATCAATCCCAAGAAGTATCATAAAACAAAAAAGGTACTAAAATGTGAAATATCGTCGTCTCACCTCAGAACATATCCCGACGAGCGCGTCCGCACATCCGTAGAACTCCTCCTTGAGCGAAATGACGATAGTCTGCAGGTTCCCCTTCTTGGAGCGGATGTAGGAGGCCACCTTGCCGATGTTGGTGTTGTCCAGCGCCGCGTCGATCTCGTCCAGCAGGAAGAACGGCGCCGGCTGGTAGCTGCAGCAAGACAACACATATACACTCTATTGTATACGCTATAGATAATGTCTTCATCCTACCGTACAAAAATGAGTTTGTTCGATACAGTCCACTACGATTACGCGATTTATTGAAATTATCATATAATAATAATAATAATACCGTCTGGTCAGAGTGGTATAGTAGGATAAAACCTCCTTTCTAAGGAGAGGCCTATGTCCAGCAGTGGACTAGTATAGGCTGTTGATGTGTGTGGTGTGAATAATAAAAAATAAACAATAAATAATAAAATATACGTTGACTTAGAAGCGTAGGGTTTAATGGTGTTCTTTAAAAAAAAAAAAAACAAGTTATGACATAGGGTACTATCTTGAATCCCGAATAAAGTAAGTAGAACATAAAAATAACTTATCGAAAGCCGAGAGTAAAAACTAGTTAAAATAAATGTATGTATATGTTTTTGTCAAGTTAATTTATTATGAAAAAATATGTAAGAAGTGGGAATTGAACTGGCTTTTTCAATGCATCGCAGTGAGTAACTAGGAGCGGCGGGACTATTATTTTATTTTATTTTTAGCCGGTATTATCCCCACTGCAGGGTAAAAGCATCCCTCTCTCCCTTCCACATCTCTCTATCGTGTGCTAATTCGGACCAGTCTTTTCGGAAGCGCCTTAGTCGCCTGGGGCTACCGTGTGGTCGTTTAGCACCTCGTGGGACCCAAGTTGTGCTACTTTTAACCCATACTATGACTTTTAGTAAAATTATTTTGATTGCCTCCCAATGTAGAGGGTGGGTGGAGCCGGGCTGACGCACCTGTGTATGGCGAAGAGCAGCGCGAGCGCGGCCACGGTCTTCTCCCCGCCGGACAGGTTGGACATGGGCTGGAAGCGCTTGCCGGGCGCCACGCAGTTGTAGTTGATGCCGTCCAGGTACGGCTCCTCGGGGTTCTCCGGGCCCAGGAACGCCTGCGCCGACTGGTTCATCGCCAGCGCCTGCAACATTTGTGATGCGTCACAATCCACCTCGGAGATGCAAGACATTTGCACTGTTCACGAACGGCAATCCTAGACTCTCTCAGACACAAATCAGGTAAAGCCTGATAAATATACTTATATATATTTCTAAACACATATATTTTATAAACCAGTTACATCCAATTGGAAAACAATTCTTGCTCGTCACGATAGTTTGTCCTGGGTGGAAAACGACGACCGAATGGCGTAGTGGTTTGTGTAACGGACTGCTATTCCCAAGGTCGCGGGTTCGATTCCCGCTCAAGTCCAACATTCGTGTGCATGAATATTTAATGTTTGATTTGGTCTGGGTGTTTCTATGTATAATATGTATGTATTTACAAAAAAAGTATATATGTATTTATATCAGTTGTCTAGTCCCCATAGTACAAGCTCTGCTTAGTTTGGGACTAGATGGCGTTGTGTGAATGTGGTAGAATATTATTATAAGGAAATCAAACCCACGACCTCTAGCTCGACAGCCACTAGACGAAACAGGCACCAATTAATGTTGTTTCGTTTACGTTTAGTATACTTCTTTACCAACTATACTAGAAACTAATATTTGTCAAAATGTTTATATTTTTTATAATGGGTGTTTTTTTAATATTGTTTGAACACTAACCTTGTATATAGCGTCAATTTCATTAGCGACGTGTTCAAAACATTCGATAAATTTATCGTGTCTTTCCTTCTTCACCTGAAAATTTAACACAAAAATAATATTATTTATTTCACAACAAACAATAATTATTTTAATAACTTAAGAGTCACAAATGCGTTACCGCCCTTCGAGTCCTCTTCAGAAATGGGGGAGACTCGAAGGGCCAAACTACCCTAGTTTTAAGCTTCAATAACCTCACACATTAGACGAAAAGCAAAGAAAAAAAATGCTAAATATCGGTTTTCTGTAAAGCCGAATTATATAAGCAATTGCCTGAAACACAGGTCAAACACCTAGCTCAGGCCGATTTACAAAATAATTGGTAATAATTTGATTTTACTTTTTTTTCTATTCACTTTGATTCAGATTTTCCCCTTAAGACCACATCTAGCTCCCAAAAAAAACTTTCTTTATTTGGACATAAAAAAAAAAACAATGTTACACAGTACATTTGAAAACGACGATATCGGCACTTTAAGAATGTTGTTATTTAATCTATTTTAAATAAATGGAGTAAAATGTATTATAAATTTATTTAAGAGGTTTTCCAGCTAAAGGCAGAGTGAGATGGAGGAACATCCATGTAAGAATAAAATCAGACACGACTTTAAGTGACGAACGTGAAGAACGTGACCAGAAAGAATGTAGGCTTATTGCATAGTCTCGTTAGATACAAGATATTTTATTTGCATAAACACGCGTACATTAAAGATGTTAAATAATATTGCCTGATCGACATGTTTGACCGTAACCGGTGTTCAAATGTAAAATTAATTTAACAATATCATCTTTCTACATGCAACATAAAATCGTTTCATCATCAGCCTTTAACAGTCCACTGCTGGACATAAGCCTCTCCTTAGAAAGGAGGTTTTGGCCTACTATAAAATCGTTTAATAACATTTAATTTAAAAAAAACGACGGGTTGCACTCCGGGAGTGCCGGCAGAAGTGAAAACTTGAATATTAACCTTGTCCGCCTAAACGATCGTCTTACGAATTTTCGATCAGGGTCACGTGTCCTGACGCGAGTTTAACATTTTTTACGCATTACAAAAAAAAGTGTACAACGCCGCTAAAAAAGTTTTCACTTAAAAAAAAAAACAATTACAACGAAGGGATTCAAATATCATGGTTATAGGTAAATATTAACCATCTACATTAATTCATCTTATATATAAAATTCTCGTGTCACAATGTTCGTTCCCGTACTCCTCCGAAACGGCTTGACCGATTCTCATGATATTTTGTGTGCACATCGGGTAGGTCTGAGAATCGGCCAACATCTATTTTTCATATCCCTAAATGGTAAGGGTGACCCATCCCTAATTTTTTTTGTTTTGCAATACAACGTTTGCCGGGTCAGCTAGTTTAATCTAAAACTTTCAATATTCAACATAGATATATTTAAGTTGTAGTTCGTAATCGTTAGTTCGTTAACCGGCCACTAAACACGTACCTTCTCGAAGGCGAGCTTAGCTTTGTGCGCTTTCTTCCTCGCCACGACGAACGCCTCGTTCGTGGCGTTCACTTTCTCCCTCACCTCGTTCAGTTTCTCCATTGCCTGTTGTAATAACACACAGTTTATTTATTTCTCTATCGGTACTATAACTAAACAGATATAATCTGTGTTAATTAGTGCTAAGCCGGAGGTTGTAGGTTCTGTTCCCACCCAGGACAATTAATTTTGTGATGGGCATGATCACTTGTTCTATGTCTGGGTGTAATTTATCTACAATATACATGTTTTTAGATATACTTAAGTAAGTTTATCAGCAGTCTGGTTACTATAGCTGGCTTTGGCTTGTTTAGGGTCAAACTAAAGTGTGTCAGATGTGTGAAGTTATTATTATTAAAGAAAAACAGGCAAATGTTGCGATCAGTTGATCGCAACATTTGCCTGTTTTTCTTTAAATAGAATTGAGGAGAGGACAACTGGACAAAAAAGAGAAACAGCATACCCTCATGTTGGGAGCCTGTATCTTGTCAACAGTGTTCTGTAGTGAATTGATCGCCTTCTGCAGCTTGTCAGCCTTGCGCTTGATCTCGTCCGACTCCTCCAGTTCCTTCAGAGATTCTGGCAGAGAGCGGTAGTCTAGGCGGATCCTGCAACATTACACTCATATTAATTCATAATAACAAACAATTTAAACCAAATTACAACAATACTAACCATACTAAAAATTTGAAAATAATAACAATTCTAATCGAAAAGACTAAAATATGTGCGACCTTTAATATAACAGGTAACATTATAAAATAGGAAAAAAAACCTTCTAGTCTGTTTGAAGTCAGTGTCAAACCCAATAGGTTTTAAACATGGGTAATGAGTCACAAATTGGGTTACGCATGTCTCAAATTATATTTTTATATTGAATGCTTTATTAAGTAAGTAGTTGATAAGTTTTCGTAGTATACCATACCATTTTTATATATATGTATATATGTACACGGTGTGAGGGACATCGTAAAGAATACTGAAATAGGGTATTCAGACAATCTTTCGGAGTAGAAAATCATTGGAATTTTCTGCCGAAAAATTAAACTTGTTATGTAATCGCACAAAAGTAATAACCACATGTGTATTCCGTGCAAACAGTCTACGCACACTAACACAAAATGGCGGTCGGAGGGGAGGCCCCGCGCGCTTCGGCTGTTTGATTAATTACATTGCATTTTTTTTTATATTGATTAAATTGTAATATATACATTTATTTTATTTAGATAATACAAATTGTCACCACCCCAATTCATCCCGTGGGTGTCGTAAGAGCCGACTAAGGGAGCAAACTAAGCAGGACAACAGCACTGCAAAGAGAAGGAAAACTTGAAACAAACCCTATACCAACCCGTCTGGTCAGCGTGGTATAGTAGGCCAAAACCTCCTTTCTAAGGAGAGGCCTATGTCCAGCAGTGGACCAGTATAGGCTGTAGATGAGTAGATGAAATTGTTATCGGTACAATGTTCTGACTACTTATTGTGATATCATTTTTCATCATTTTTAACCAGAAAAATGGCAAATTAAAAACAAAAAGCGGCAACGGCAGAAAATGTGAATGATTTTCGACTCAGAATCATGGTCTGAATATGTACAATATTTTAGTATTCGGTACGATGTCCCTTACACCCTGTATATTGGTTTATCTTGAAAATTATTGTGTAACAAACAAATTTTTGTTTTTGTCTAAATACGAGGGGTGATCAATAAGTAATGATAATCGAGTATTTCTAGAACGCACAAAAATCCAAATTATTTTTTTTCTGCTTGCTTATATATCCACTACTTCAGCTTCAAAAAAATGTACAAATAGGACACCATTACCGGGAGATACATTCATTTGAATACGAACTGTCGAAGAGAAAACATCAAAATGGAGAAAAATGAAATAAGAGCTGTCATCAAGTACCTCTGCCTGAAAAAAATGTCTACCAAAGACATACACAGCGACTTAGAGGAAACATTGGGAGAGTCTGCTCCTCCATGTGCCACAGTCGCACGCTGGGCAAAGGAATTTAAGCTGGGCAGAACCTCCACTGAAGATGAACATCGCGAGGGACGCCCTTCCACGTCCCTTACTGAAGAAAACGTCAAAAGAGTGGAAGATATCGTGTTGGCCGATCGAAGGGTGACCGTAAGGCATGTAGCTGAGGTCACAGGGATCTCCTATGGCAGCGTTCAAAAAATCATTGTCAACAAAATGCATATGAAAAAGGTCTCTGCGCGTTGGGTACCGAGAATGTTAACCGACGAGCAAAAAAAGAAACGAGTCGACATTTCGAGGGTGAATATTCAAAAGTTCCAGGCCGATAAAGAATTTTTTGTTTGATTGACGAGACCTGGATCCACCACTTTGATCCCGAAACCAAACAACAATCAATGACTTGGAAACGAGCTTCCTCACCAACGCCGAAGAAATTCAAAGTGTCAAGTTCAGCGGGAAAGGTTATGGCGTCTGTTTTCTGGGATGCAGAAGGAATTATTATATTGGAATATTTGGAAAAGGGGGCCACTATAACAGGCTCTTACTACGCAGGCCAAATAAGAAGATTGCGAGAAGCTATTAAGTCAAAAAGACGCGGTAAACTGCGCGCTGGAGTGCTGTTTCACCAAGACAACGCCCCGGCTCACAAAGCCGCAGTTGCGATGGCTGCCATTGAAGAAACGGGGTTCGAACTGCTCGAACACCCTCCCTATTCGCCAGATCTAGCTCCCAGTGACTTCTACCTCTTTCCTCGGCTCAAAGAACACCTCCGGGGCAACAAATTTGAGGACAATAGTGAAGTGATGGCCGCAGTAGAGGCATTTTGGGAGGGTCAAGACAAAGAATTTTTTTCTAAGGGAATCATGGGCTTAGAAAAAAGATACACGAAATGTATTAACTTGCAAGGAGACTATGTTGAAAAATAAAATACTTTTTTTAATCTAATAGTTCTGTTTCATATTGATTATCATTACTTATTGATCACCCCTCGTATTATCTAATCTCACTAGTGACTTTTTTGTGCACATAACTCTGTGACCCAACACAAATATCTTAAAATAATGAAACAAGGTCAATACGTGATTACTGATTATATTATTAAAGAGTTATCCTCTAACTCCTAAACGTCAAGCACCCTTCCATCATTAGCTCAGCAACATAAGATAACAGCTACTAAACGCAAATACTTGTACAGTTAGAGAAACAACCTAAAACACGTTTTCAGGGCTGTCAAATTTGAGGAATTCCCTTGATTTCTCGGGGATCGCATCATCAGATCCTGACTTGGTAATGATGAAACCACCTCGGGAGTATACCCTTTCGATTACAAACATACAAAAAATAAACAGTCGAAATGAGAACCTCCTCTTTTGTGTCTTTGAAGTCGGTTAAAAGGTATACAGTTTTATATCGCTGTTCAGATCCGTTACTTTATACGTATCGAAGGAAGAATAAACTCAATTTTTTTTTTCCTTAAAAAGACAACTCCCGCATCTATACTAATATTATAAAGCTGAAGAGTTTGTTTGTTTGTTTGTTTGTTTGAACGCGCTAATCTCAGGAACTACTGGTTCGATTTGAAAAATTCTTTCAGTGTTGGATAGCCCATTTATCGAGGAAGGCTATAGGCTATATATCATCACGCTAAGACCAATAGGAGCGGAGCACCAATGAAGAATGTTTCAAAAACGGAGAAAATTTATTACTATTGAGAGACGCAGACGAAGTTGCGCGGGTCAGCTAGTTAGGAATATATCCTGTGTCGCGGGGGACTTTACAAACATACATGAAACGGACACAAAGAACACCCAGACTTAGAACAACAATTTGTGGATCACACAAAGTGTCGTCCCATGTGGGGTTTGAACCCACAACACTCGGCGCAGTAGGAAGCGGCGTGGCGACCGCTTAAACCACTGCGCCATCCGTGCAGTCAAATGTGCAATTATTAAGAACTAGCTGGTACTCGCGACTTCGTTGGCGTAGAATTTGAAAAGCGCTGCCTTAGCGGGTTCGATGGCCGGACCGGAAGGTTTTTTTCTGAGGTTAAATAGCCTTAGTTATTCCTTATGTAGACAACTATCTGGTTGTAAAATATTATCGAAATCGGTCCAGCCGTTTAGAAGATTACCCGGAACAAACAGAGAGACAGACAAAAAAAAATGGATTTTAGGCATAGGTATCGTGCAAATAACCGTGTGAGCATTAAAAAAACCTATAATTTTGACATTACAAATTACTTCAATTTTATTTATTTAAATAGATAATTTGTAGTCACGAGCTTATATGGAATATTTCAGTTGTACGATTCCGTCCACGACTGACACAAGTATTATTAGTTTCACTTATCACAAACAAGATGGCGGTGTACGAAAATAGAAATCGGTGTTAAAAGTCACAACAGGTCCATCGTTTATTGCATGATTTTTCGTCGATTCCAAAGATACAGGTCTTGATGCAATACAGCTCAGATACATAGCTATCTGGTTATAGAATCGTGTAAGACTATTTCCTAACAAATTCAACCCTACCTCGATCTCAAACAGTACGACCCAGCTTTGAAGTTTTATTTGATGTTAAAAACTCTTAAGACAAAACTAATAAGAGCATTCATTTGTGGTACTATCAGTCGAATACAAGTATTAGAAATGCATACCTGGACTCCTTGCGGTACTGCTGCGTGGTGGACATGGAGGAGGGGTCGGACTCGGTGTCCGCCGTGTCGTCCAAATTACCCTCCAACAACGGGATTATTATATCGTCGATCTGAGAGCAAAAAGTAAAATAATAATGTGAATAATGTAATATTAAGTAGAGCCTAAATTGTCCTTCATTTTATATCTTAAAATCAACATTATATATAAATGACTAGCTGACCCGCGCAACTCTGACTGCGTCTCTCAATAGTAATCAATTTTCTCCGCTTTTGACACATTCTTCATTGGTGCGCGGCTCCTATCGGTCTCAGCGTGATGATATATAGCCTATAGCCTTCCTCGATAAATGGGCTATCTAACACTGAAAGATTTTTTTTAATCGGACCAGTAGTTCCTGAGATTAGCGCGTTCAAACAAAGAAACAAACAAACAAACTCTTCAGCTTTATAATATTAGTATAGATTTGACAGTAACTATGTGTGACGTCACGCTATTGTATTTCATACCAAAGTGTACCATGTCTATCGCTTTGACGATCAATAAAAGGATTCTGACTTGACTTGGCAATCATCCATTCTATTGTAAGAATCGTTCGTTTTCTTGGTGTCTTTGTAAATATTTAACTTAAAGGTTCATGTTAGAGACGATAAGAGCGAGACCGAAAAATTTGTCACAAGACTTTTTTCCGACACTTTTTGCTATAGTTACAGCCATGTATAGACTATATACATCCCGCAAATAGCTCTCCCTCGCGCCGATATAACCTTATTATTTCAGATCATTCAGTGTTCAATTTATCATTATTTATTTTATACTTAATAAATATATTTTATCATAAATTTTCAACTTGACTCTAATATTTGACATTTTATAACATAAATCACTGTGTGTGTGTGTGTGTGTGTGTGTGTGTGTGTGTGTGTGTGTGTGTGTGTGTGTGTGTGTGTGTGACTGTATAGCAAACACCTACTTAAAAGTAAAAGAAATTTCGTTCCGATCTCTCGCTGTTTTTTTATTAATCGGTGGCTGGTTCGAATGTACACTTGATTGAAGTCTTAACGCTTTGAACATTACGGTACAGACACAAATATCAGGAGGAGTGATACGTACCTTGCACTGTCGCAGTATGTTGTGTCGGTCGGAACGTTTGCTCTCGATGCGAGACTCGATGTTGGAGATCTGCTTCTGAACGCTTTGAATGTCCTTTTGTATGCTTGTCAACTCTTTGCGGGCCTACAAATATGGACAAATATTTAGTTACAATAAGCATAATCATATAGTAGGCCTAAACCTCCATCGGTAAGAAAGGCCTATGTCCAGCAGTGGACTGTTAGGGGCATAATCATATTACAATTTTGCAAAGAGAGTTGGGTATAATTTTCATCACAACGTCCATTCGCGTTAAGAAAATAGTGACGAATCGATCGAGTTCTCCGAGCTCGATCGACGGTAGAGTATTTGGTTAACGCGGACGCAGTAGGGTCGGCTATCGGCACCTTGTTGACGTCCTCGTCGGCGTGGTCCTGCCTGGCGCGGGAGGCGGCGCGCTGGGCCTTGAGCGCGTCCACCTTGCGCAGCTCGGCGTCGATCTCCTGGCGCTGCTTGGCCTCGGCCTGCCGCCCGCCCTCCAGCTCGTCCTCCGCGTCCTGCACGGCTCTCTCCCAGCGTGTCACGTTTTCTGAACCGCAACATTTGTTTAATATAAAAAGGACCGAGTTTCTAAGATTCGTTACAAACTTTAGCCGTCAACCAGGTACATAAGGATATCATGAAAAAATTAAAATATGTTGAAAGGAAAGGTAGATAAGAGACGGGTAAAGGATATTCTTTATAGCTTATGTGAGATGAATCGAAGAAAAAGATTATAGAAGATAAACTATAGCTCGAATTGCAAATGTTCGCATACCTGTTACTCGAATTAACTCTCACTAGAAAAGCCAAATTGTCTAAATTCAAATTTTACAGTTAAAATATTCTTTTATTTTAATCAATAAAAAAAGAAATGTAAACTTTTTATAATATACAGAATATGTTAAATAGTAACATTTAAAATTAAAACAGAAAAGGTTCTTGTATAAAATCTGAACTACACTTTATTGCACTTAGCAAAGTGTGAAGTCAGACCGTTACTACTTATATAGAATAAAAATTAAAGTTACAGGTATTCCACAGCAAACACAATAAAATGCCTTTGTGATGTCATCATCATCATCAACAACAGCCTTTAACAGTCCACTGCTGGACATAAGCCTCTCCTTAGAAAGGAGGTTTTGGCCTATTATACCATACAGGCCAGACGGGTTAGTATAGGGTTTGTTTGAAGTTTTAATTCAATTTGCAGTACTGTTGTCCTGCCTAGTTTGCTCCCTTAGTCGGTTCTCACGACACCCACGAGATGAACAGGGGTGATGACACTCCATATTCTTAAACCGTCACCACACGGATGATGATGTAACAAAATAAATTAGACTTTATGAGTAATTAGAATACTTCGATCAAATAGCCCGCTCATAAAAAATTAGGGTATTAGTGTAACGATGATGATGGATGAGGCTGATGACTATAGGTACCAGGTGAGAAAACCAAGGCATGAGGATCAACACTGGTATATTAAATAACTATAAAATATGTGCAGATGAGCAGACACGTACTCTGCGTATCCCGGGAGCGCTCGAACTCCAGGTTGGAGGTGATGCGGTCGATGTGCGCGTCGAACTCCATGCGGCGCTTGGCGCGCTCCTGCTGCGCGCGCAGCTCCCGCTCCTCGTACTGCCTGGAAGGGGGGGGGTAAGTGATAAGCTTACTTAAACGACGATACCAACACCTCAGCGCCATCTAACTACGACCAGACGAACTACAAATACTAAACTTCTTTATAAAATAACTTGAAGACAAACAGGTGTTCCGTATATAATGGAGGATCATTAGACCAGGCGAGACGCGGCCCAACGGTTGATTTTAGAAAGTGGTTTTTATGGTAATTGGTGTGAGAATTTTCATATTGCGATACAGGATTAGCAGTTATTCCGTAGTTCAGTGAGTCTTCGTCAGATGGCACTGAAGTTTATTTTTATTTCATTGTACGTTAAAGCTGCCACATTTTTTTATGTTATAGGGGGCAGATAAGCAGACGGGTCACCTGATGGAAAGTGACCATCGCCGCCCATGAACGTCTGCAACTCAGGAGTCACAAACGCGTATTAGAGAGGTTTCTTAGATTAAATAATAAAACCTAGGTATATTAAAGTACAAGTAAAACTACTAGGTAGGTAGAAACTAGTTATTACCTGATGTTGGCAACCCCGATGTCCCTGCAGAAGGCTCTGAACACGACGTCCTCCACATTGTTCATGTTCTCCTTGATCTCCTGGATCTTGGCGTCCCGCGCGCTTATCGTGTGCTCGATAGACTCTACTTGCGGCTACAATATACGTGTATATATAATAGACATAAATTTATACATTTATTTATCTATATATATAAGAGATTTCCACGTATATAGTCAGTCATCACGATATCTCTGGAACCATTAGAGCTAAAGACTTGAAATTTGGTAGGAATATTCTTTTCATCGAGTCGAGATCAGCTAAGAACGGATTTTAAGAAATTCAAATTTTTTTTTTTTAAATAATGTAAATAGCAAAACAACGTTTGCAGGGTCAGCTAGTAAAATATAAACCCTTAGCTCAGATTATCTGGTTTGAGGACCAGATAATAATAATAATAATATTTGGACATCTAACACACAACGCCATCTATTTTCAAACTAAGCAGAGCTTGTACTATGAAAACTAGATTGACTGATAGAATACTTTTTTTATGTAAATACATACATAGAAAACACCTAAACCCGAAACAAATATTTGTAAACCATACAAACATTTGGTCCGACCCGGGAATCGAACCCGAGACCTCAGCACAGCAGTCGCATACACTACCACTTTCTTTTTCCGTGCGGAAATCCCCTCCGATACCACCTATCGGTGGCATGTCGGACTCGAACCGACTAAAACCGCACGCCGTTTCGGGTACTAATAGCCGGGGAACCAGGTATACCCTAGAAAAGAAGTCCCTGGTGCACATACACTACCACTGCGCCACCGAGGTAGTCATAATCTGAGCTAAGTGTTGCAGATGTACAGGAAATATCTCGACAAAGTATCGCAATCATTGATAGTAAAAGTACGGGTATGTTTTATTTCTCTGGCTTTCTCTTTGTATTTTACAAGCCTTAATGTCAAGAGAGAGAATGAATTACCTCACCTGATGACATCCAAGGTAAATTGATATCCAATTGGTTTTAAAACGAAAGGACAAGGAATGCACTTAATTATTATTTTAAATGAAGAACTTCTTAAAACTGTAGTAATACTTACACCGAACATTTCAATTTTCCTTTCAAACTCAGCTAATTCTGCATCAAGGGCTTTTATTTGTTTTAACTGCAAACAAACAAATACAATGTATCAATTACTAATTTCACCTGCATTTTTAGTCATAGCTCCGCTTTACGTCCGTTTTTTTTAATCTCCGATCACCACTTTACGTCTTTTGACAAAGTTATTTGGGGTTGGCTCAACAAGTTTTCTTCTTCAAAGCTGTTTCCACTCGTAACTTCACTTCTGACTCGTATTCTAGCCATACCCTGTTTCATGCAGCCCATCCACCTTTTCTTTATTTGTCCTCTACTCTTGTATTCATCAACTTCCACATTTATAAAACTTTCTTTTATGTTATTTACTTTATCTTTATTTATATAAAACTACTGTCATATCTACGCATCAATGTCTTGTCATCCACTGGTGTTACTTTCAGGCTTCGTCTAATATATTTATTCCTCCTTTCTCCCCATTTCGCATTTTATCTACATGCAGGAGTCTCTTATCCGTTTTCTTCATTGGCCAACATGGTTGAGTTGAATTATAAAAGGTGTAACATATATGTGACAAATGTCTAAAAATACATGTGATATTTTTGACTGTATTTTTTAACTAATAATAATAATAACCTCACACATCTCACACACGGCCGTCTGATCCCAAACTAGGCAGAACCTGTGCTATGATAAACATACTTATTTATTTTTAAATACAAGGATATTATAGATAAATTACACCCAGACACAGAACAAACGATCGTGCTATCACACAAATATTTGTTCTGGGTGGGAATCGAACTCATACCCTCCGGTTTAGCAGTCAGGGTCACTAACCACTAGACCCACAGGGCCGTCACTACGTTCATTTCTTATTAGAATAATATTATTTGCTATAAAAAATAAATTCAATTATAACCATATTATTAGTAACGAATATCCAGAACACTTACAGTAGTGTCCCTGTCAGTGATGGCGTACTTGAGGCGTGACTCGAGTCCCCGGATCTGGGAGTCCACCGTCGTCAGCTCCGACTCCTTCCGGGACTTCTTCATCGACTCACGAAGCTCTTCTGTTAGTTTTTCCTATTTTACACAGAAGTAGATGTTTATAACGCAACTTATATATTTTCTGTACAATTTATGAGGGAGACAAAAGAGAGACAAAATAGATGAAACTGAGAATATGTTTATGAAATGATGTTTCGTATATGTGTGTGTGTGTGTATACGTATACGACGTATATGTATGTAGTGAACCGTGTATATTTTCATAGATTACATGTCATAATATGTAACCTCTGTGCACCTAACATGTTTGATTTCTACCCACTAACTAACCACCCAAAGGTTGACTGGAAGAGAATGCCTTGGGCATAAGGTCCGCGAAGTACAAAAGTGCATAAATAAATAAAATGAAGTTAGACTCATTATAAAGTTATAGACTTTTTCTTACCTTCTTAGATTTTAACTGTGAAAGGTGTTTCTCGTCCCACCGTTTGGCCTTGCGAGCCAGGTCCAAGGAACCGCCAGATATTATTCCAGACTTTTGGTAAAATGTACCGTCTAACGCTAGAGCCTGCAAAATAACAGTTATCAATTAAATATTAATTAATTAGAATACATTTGTAGTTAAATGTATATGTTTTTATCCTTACAGTAGAACTTTTATTTTTTCAATTATTTTTATTAATTAAGGCCATCAGATCTTCAAATCATGATAGTGGAACATCTTAGCCATTACACCAATATCGAATCTCCTCCACTCGAGTGATAAATAATAAATTATATGAAACAAATCAAATTAATGGAAAATAATAAATTTATGTAATTCAAGAATTATGAAATTTCATTCCTCGGCAACAGACCTCCCTTTCCTTAAATTGCCTTCCCTTTTTATATTAACCATCAATGAACTCCCTAAGCGACTGGCTGGCGGTTATTACATGACTGGGACCAAATCAAAGTGACAAATTTGTTGTGTAAGTAATATGTGTAGTAAATACATCGTATCTGCTGTTCTTGCTCCTGTCCAGGTCGTAGGCGACCCTGCTGGCGTCCTCGGGCGTCTCGCAGACCAGCGCGTTGTTGGTGACGAACAGCACGGCGCGGTGGATGGCGGCCGGCTCGAAGCGCAGCACGTCGAACAGCAGCTTCACGTTCTTCGGCTCCTTTATGTCCCTGCGCACATCACATTTTTAGTAGACTTGCAACGAATATTCGGTTACTATTCGGTATTCGGCCTATTCGGCTGCTTTTATTATATTCGGCCGAATACCGAATACTTAAATAATATATTTTGTCATTGAGAAATAATTGGTAAAATGAAAAATTAAAATCGATTGATTACGTATATATTCATATTTTCATTTCTGTTATAATCATTTAAGTAGTCATTGGTGCATAACACAGGTACATAATCATCTTCTGAATAGGAAAAATGGAGGATTCTATGTATTTGAATTATTGTGGTAATCAAAATTTAGAAGGGTAAGGTTCTCATTTTTTTTATAATCATTTATTAAGTAGTCATTGGTACATAAAACAGGTACATAATTTAATTCACGTCTGTACAAGTTTTTGGCGCTAAAATCCAGCCGAATACTTTTGCCTAATATTCGGCTATTCGGTCAGGGGCCTCGCCGAATATTCGGTATTCGGTATACTGCCGAATATACTATTCGTTGCAAGTCTAATTTTTAGTCCTTAATAACGGATATACTGGCACACATCAAAACAATGTTGTGGTATATTTAATGATGTCATTGTATCTATCTGTAAATTGCAAATTATGGGCATGAGTTTGTTTGCCCTTTCTTCTCATAAGGCTCAACCCCTTGGAAACGGGCGGTTGTAGATCGGCACAGGCATATCATAGATTTTGTATGGGTTTGGTTTTTGTTAAATTTATTTGCTTACTATTTGACAAAACAGAGATTGTTGCTTTTGTGTGTGTTGACCTATGACTTTAGAGTCTACATAAAAGACGATTTAAAACAATTTTAACAATTTAATGAAATCAAGAAAGTTTGAGTTTGACACAAACACTCACTGTAGTCTAATAATCTTGCATTGCGCAATAGAATTTTCCATTTCTCAAAGTCCAGTTATAGACCGCAGTCCGTCCCAAAATTATAAATTGATGCTAAATAATTTTTTATTTATAATGTAGACACCTTATTATAGACAAAAAACTTGTTAATACAATAACTTCATCAACAGCCTTTAATAGTCCACTGCTGGCCAAAACCTCCTTTCTAAGGAGAGGCTTATGTCCAGCAGTGGACTATTAAAGGCTGTTGATGATGCTGGACATAAGCCTCTCCTTAGAAAGGAGGCTTTGGCCTACTATACCACGCTGGCCAGGCGGGTTGGTATAGGGTTGTCAAGTTTTCCTTCTCTCTGCAGTGTTGTTGTTCTGCGTAGTTTTTTCCCTTAGTTGACACTTACAACACCCACGGGATGAATAGGGGTGGTGACATTCTGTATTCTTAATCCGTCACCACACGGACGAATACAATAACTTACCTTAATCTTTCTCTAAGAGGTTTCGCTTGAATGTAGTCAAGAGGAAGGAAGGTCTCGGGCTCCAACATACGTTCTTTTAGTACCTACAAGTATAGGAGATAAATTTAATTTAGTGACTCAGTACTATCTTTTGTACATATTTGTAAGTAGCTGACCCGCGCAACTTCGTCTGCGTCTCTCAATAGTAATAAATTTTCTCCGTTTTTTAAACATTCTTCATTGGTGCTCCGCTCCTATTGGTGTTAGCGTGATGATATATAGCCTATAGCATTCCTCGATAAATGGGCTATCTAACACTGAAAGAATTTTTCAAATCGGACCAGTAGTTCCTGAGATTAGCGCGTTCAAACAAACAAACTCTTCAGCTTTATATTATTAGTATAGACTTACTTTCTAACAACGAATTTTTTTTTACTAAACTTTGTTTAAAGATAACATTTTTTTTTACAACGGCATCTACAAGGCCTTTTAAATGGGTGTTGGCCATGGTTGTGGGCCTTAGACATGCTCACTAAGACGACTTTTTTTTTTTTTTCCTTTTTTTTAAAAGACAACTCCCGCAGTAGGAATTTAGGGGAGACTTTACAAACATACATGAAACGGACAAAGAGGACATCCAGACTCAGAACAACAATTTGTGGATCACACAAAGTGTCGTCCCATGTGGGGATCGAACCCACAACACTCAGCGTAGTAGGAAGCGACGTGGCGACCGCTTAAACCACTACGCCATCTGTGCAGTCAATTTTGCACTGCAAACATAGAACTGTACCTAAAAATTGGACCTATATAATCTATATAAACGCTAAACAATTTGTACTACAACATGTTTTTTTTTTTTTTTTTCATAATCACACAACGCCATCTACTCCCAAACTAAGCAGAGCTTGAACTATGGGTACTAGACAACTGATATAAATACATATATACTTTTTTTTTTGTAAATACATACTTATTATACATAGAAACATCCAGACCAAATCAAAAATTAAATGTTCATGCACACAAATGCTTGACTTGAGCGGGAATCGAACCCACGTCTTTTGGAATAGCAATCCGTTACACAAACCACTACGCCATTCCGTCGTCAAGCAGCGATTTCGGCGCATTCGGTTGAGCATGATATTAGTGAGATCTACATCCCTGGTGTATTTCATAAACTTAAGTATTACCTGAATGCATCTCCTGGCTGTCTTCTCCGTGTCGACGACAATAGCCTCCATGTACTTGCCGAGTACCTTGGTGATGGCCACGTTGTACCGCTTGTGGGTCGGCTGGCACATGTTGATCATACGGTCATACTGTATGGAGACAAAAACTATATTGAGCATCATCAAGCTTATTTTATAATAATAATCCATTGATCTGCTCACGGATTGATAGCCAAGAGCTTCGACCAACTCCTTAAGAGGCTCACGCTAGAGGAATGGATCAAGGGTCTGATGCATTAGGCAGTTTTCTTTGACACAGCCCGTATAGTGAGGAGGTTCCTGCCTTTGGAGTCCTAACCACCGGTGTCTTGGTGCCTGTACCCGGTGTTGGTGGTCTACAATTTTTATGTTTTTAAATATATATTTAAAAATGCAATCAATATGTATTTTAAGACGTAATAAAGAGAAAAATAATAATATTTTCGGACATCTGACACTGACTTTTCAAACTAAGCGGAGCTCGTTCTATAAAAGGTAGATTGACGTATATAATACTTAAAAAAATATATTTCTAAATATATATTGCGGGCATTTTTAAAAAGGTGCTCCAAAAATAGGCAGTCATATTTGAAGATGGATATGTATGCCCGATAAATGGTGTAGCGAGAAAAAAAGAAAATATATAACAACAAATATGGCTGCTCCTTTTTAGACATGAAGTATCAACTGTATATTACTAAGTTAAGATCACATCGTGGCCTTTAATGCTACTCTACTAACCACTCCCGGTATATCTCTCTTGAAGCTCTCTACAATCTCTTGTTTCTTCCTCCGCCTCGCTTCTTCGTGCTTATCAACCCTGGCGTCCCCTAACGCCGCGGCCACTTCCTCCAGCTGGGTCTGCAGCTCTTGCGCACGACCGCGACACTCGCCCACGTCCGCCTACAACATAATTACAGTTACAACAACTATTAATAACCCTACAACGTACCCTCAACAACATGGGCTCTTTAGGAACTTATAATAATAAATTTAATAGAAAATGCATCCAGAAACAAACAACACATATACACTTGTTTAAAAAAAAACACTGTCCGTGTGTTGACGGATTAAGAATACAAATTGTTACCACCCCAATTCATCCCGTGGGTGTCGTAAGAGCCGACTAAGGGAGCAAACTAAGCAGGACAACAGCACTGCAAAGAGAAGGAAAACTTGAAACAAACCCTATACCAACCCGTCTGGCCAGCGTGGTATAGTAGGCCAAAACCTCCTTTCTAAGGAGAGGCCTATGTCCAGCAGTGGACTAGTATAGGCTGTTGATGATTGATGAAAAAAAAACAATTTGTACCGTCATTCTCTATAGTATCGTCAAATCATTTTCTTTTAATATTTGGTTCGCAAAATTTAATTTATAATAACGAGTCAAAATCATGAATATCTTATTTCTATAAGAACTGTTATGCGAAACTACCAACTACTATAAATAAAATTATAATAATTATTAATAAAATAAGTAACAAGAATGTTTGAACTTACCTGTAGTTCAGCCCTCAACCTCCGTTGTTCCTCAAGCGCTTGTTCAGAACTGCGGATGTGTTCGTTTAGCTTGTCTACACGTTTCATTGCCTCGTTCCGTTCGTGACCCTGGGACATCAAAGTTATAAATGTTATTTCTTAAAAGTAGAAGTATTATATGGTATGACTAAAGATGGCTCTTAGCCACCACAATTTTTACTTATGGATAATATTCTTCATGATCTAGGTGGCAGACGGTACAACTGATGATAAATAATTACCACGGCCCAAGCACACCTGCAATGAGAGTGTCTTTGCCCCTCAACAGGGAGGGTTGCGCCTTCGCGCAATAACAAATTACATGTTACAATTTATTTTGTGATTCTATTGTGGGTCATATACAGCATTTCAAAAAAAGTATTTTATTATTGACATTATAAAAATCCTACATTACGATAGTTTATTGGCTGTGGAAAGGGTTTACAAACTTTTGTTTATCTATACTAATATTATAAAGCTGAAGAGTTTGTTTGTTTGTTTGTTTGAACGCGCTAATCTCAGGAACTACTGGTCCGATTTGAAAAATTCTTTCAGTGTTAGATAGCCCATTTATCGAGGAAGGCTATAGGCTATATATCATCACGCTAAGACCAATAGGAGCGGAGCACCAATGAAGAATGTTTCAAAAACGGAGAAAATTTATTACTATTGAGAGACGCAGACGAAGTTGCGCGGGTCAGCTAGTGTATATATATGTTTATGTTTACAAACAAGAGTTTGCAGACTTTATAATTTTTAGTTATCTTATTCATCCAAAAAAATGCTTTTCTATAAAAATTGGATAGCTTACATAATATTATTCAACAATGATCACAAGTTTTACCTTCTGTCTGTGCTTGTTCTCCAGCTCTCCCTTGCGTCGCATCTCGTTGTCGAGTCTATCCTGGTCAGCCTTCTGCTCACGGTTCACAGAGTCTAGCTCCTGAAGATACCGCGCGGCCTGACGTGATGCTTCCATCTTTAACTCTTCATACTCTCGAATCTAGAAAGTTAAATAATACCTGCACTTAGGAGGTTCAATTGGACCGTATTTCGCTTGAAATTATCTACTCCAAAAACTAGTCAAAATCTAAATACTTTAATAAATATTAACATGATAGAAGCAAACTGTCCAGAACATCGTTACGTTCTGGCAGTTCCCTGGCGTCACTTGGTAAAATTTATAACAACATAGTTACAGTTCGCCTGTGCCCATGGCCAGTGCAACCGGTCGAAACGTCGGGCAATTCAAAGAGACGAATTTAGAGAGAAGAATATCATTATATATCAGGCAGATTATCACGAGATTTTTTGGAAGAGTTTACGAATTCTCTGTATAAACGGCAAGTAAATATTAATTATTATTTTGTTAATTACCAATGACGGTGTTCATTGATATTAATTTAAGTGAATTGTGTATATTTCAATTTTGGTATTGATGTAATCATGAACCATGGATTTATTTTTGTTTTTAAAAAGACAAATTCCTGCATTAGGACGATCCTTTATCGCGGGCGACTATAGAAACATACATGAAACGGACTTAAGGAACACCTTTTTTTTTTTTTTTTTTTTTTCGTGCGGAAATCCCCTCGGATACCACCTGTCGGTGGCATGTCGGACTCGAACCGACTAAAACCGCACGCCGTCGCCGGGTACTAATAGCCGGGGAATCAGGTATACCCTAGAAAGGAAGTCCCTGGTGACTTAAGGAACACCTATACTCAGAACAAATATTTGTAAATCACACAAAGTGTTTTCCCATGTGTCCCTACATGGGAAAACACTTTGTGTGATGATGTGAACCAACAACACTCAGTGCAGTAGAAAGCGGCATGGCGACAGGTTAAATCTACCTACGCCATCCGTGCAGTCAACAGCGGGCAGGGTTGTAACAATATATTAACCACTATCTCACCTGTGCTTCCTCCAAATGTACATCAGCTCTCCCAGTATGTGTGGTCCCTAACGTAGTGGTCTCCCACTGTGCCTTTTGATCTTCCACCTCCTTCAGTTCATCTTCCAACTTCTTGATATCAGCCTGGTGAGCTTCGTGGGCCTTCCGCGCCTGCTCCAGGGTCTTCAGAGCACTTTCGAGCTTCTTCTGTGTGTGAGTCACTCTTTCTTTCGCTTTGATAAATGTTGGACGTTTCTTTGAGATTTCTGCTTCCTGTATTGAGAAGTGGATAATACATGTGAGGAATACATCACAGATTTTTACTGAAAGTAAACTCGGAACTGGATTTCAAAACATATTTATTCTGGGAAATAGGGATGTCAATCTATTAATACATACATACATTAATAAATATGTATATTTAAGATAAATTTATTTTTTATTTTTTTATTTTTGTTTAAAAAGACAACTCCCGCATTAGGAATATATCCTGTGTCGCGGGGGACCCTACAAACATACATGAAACGGACACAAAGAACACCCAGAATCAGAACAACACTTTGTGGATCACACAAAGTGTAGTCCCATGTGGGGTTTGAACCCACAATACTTGGCGTAGTCAGTAGGAACCGCTTAAACCACTACGCCATCTGTGCAGTAAATATTTTCATTTAGTATATTTGGATTGAAATTAACAATAGTTTTTTTACCTAAAAGGTTACAAGTTACTGTAATGATATGATGTTAATGAAAGAATAAAGCTATTAACGAATTCAAACAAATATGAAATAAAAATTAACAACCAACCTTTTGAATATGTAGATGAATATTACTATTTAGGACAAATCATCTCACATACAGACACAACTACAAAAGAAATCAAAAGACGAATAGCTAACGGATGGAAAAGATATTGGTCACTGAAAGAGACTATGAAATCCACAGATCTCAGTATAGGTATCAAAAGGAAGGTCTTCAATACCTGCGTTCTCCCATGTATTACATATGGGTGTGAAACCTGGGCTCTTACGAAAAATCACAGAAACATGCTGGAACACTGCCAAAGAGCTATGGAACGAAGTATGATAGGTGTTAAGAAACAAAATAAGATACGAAACACCGTCATAAGAAGTAAGACAAAAGTCACAAACGTACTTACTAGAATAGATAGTTTGAAGTGGAGATGGACTGGGCACATGCTGCGCGGTACACAAGAGAAGTGGAGCAACATCATAACAGACTGGTACCCTAGAGATGGGAGAAGGAACAGAGGAGGACAAAGCAAGAGATGGGAAGATGAACTAAAACTGACGGCATGCCCAAAATGGAGAAGGGTTGCTAGAGACAGAGTACAATGGAAATTGTTAGAGGAGGCCTTTGCCAAGAGGCACTGAACTCAGAGATATTTTATAACTAAAGAGACAACCACAATACTAAGAAAGAAGAAAGCAGTTCAGGATAGGAGGCTTATTTTTATAATGAAAGAATAGTTTTTTTTATGTAATAGGGGGCAAACGAGCAGACCCAGGGTCCGCCCATGAACGCCTGCAACTCAGAAGTCACAGCCTTTAAGGAAGGAGTACGCTCATTTCTTGAAGGTTTAAAGGTCGTATCGGTCCGGAAATACCGCAGACGATAACTTGTTCCACAGATTGGTAGTGCGAGGCAAAAAGTGTCTTGAAAAGCGCACAGTGGTGGATCGCCAATTATCCAAGTGGTGGGGATGAAAATTACGATTATTGATATGGATACGGATATGAGGATTACAACTTTAAATTTTAAATTTACCCACACTTATACACGGAATATAATTCGAAAGATATGTAGATGTGTGTATGGATGTTTATGACTTGGAAAAAAAGAGCACCTCAATATACTCTTTAAATGCCAGTTTGAAGTACTCTATCACAGCTGCTTCAGAAATTAGCCAGAACGAACACATAGACAGTCAGAACTTAAAATGTATACATTTGGTAGTACCTTGTAAATGGTCATAGCGATGTATTTGGTAAACAGATGTTATTTGGACAATCCAAACTGATACTTCAATGTTATATTATTGTAAAAATGTATAGATTCAAAATCAACCCGTTAATATACATCTTATACTCACCACTTCTCTTATCTCCTGGTCAATTTTTGCCAGCTCTCTTTGTATAGCTCCAGTTTCTTTTTTCTTCTCTTTCAAAGCATCTTCTGCCTTTTGACGTTTCTTTTCAACTTTAGCTAGTTCAGACTGCTTGTGCTGTAACTCTTCTTCCATGGACTGAATCTCTTTCTCATTGTGGTATAGGTGGAACAGCTGCAGCTCTACTTTTTGCTCTTGCTACAAGTTATTAAAATTAGTTTTTAGTAGGGAAGGCATAAAATGACAATCACCTGTGATAAATTTATATGAATTAAAATGTTTTTATCACACCTGTGACTGATTTACAAAACCAGTGCTACTTTTTATTATTATTACGCTAGCGCAAAACTCGCGAAAGGTCTAAATAAATAAAAAAAGCTCGTAGTCTTTGATGAAAAAAATTGATTGATTTTAATGCCACTTATATTTGTCGTGACTTCACATGTGTGACGTGACGTCACAGTGATTTCACATGTGTCACAAACACATGTGAAATCACTGTGACTATATCCAATCATTTATCTAATGAATATGATTTTAAAGTAGCAATAATTTACATGTCTAGTTTTTTAGCAACCGGAATTAGCTTGATCTTGTACGGAAAATGAAAATTACACTACAGCAACAGGAAAATTTTTGTACATCTAATACACAACCATCTGATCGTAAACCAGACTTGATAAATATACTTGAATATACAATGTGCTCATCACACAACTATTTTATTGAGTAGGAAGAATCAAACCCAGAATTAAGCAAGGGGATGGGGTGTAGATTACTCAAATAGCAGGACAACAATCTGATTTTTTAATAACAGTCCTGGGACAATTTTTAAATTCAATGGACATTACTGCTAAGCCAATGGTCGTAGGTTTGATTCCCACCCAGGATAAATATTGTGTGATGAGCATGGTGATTTGTTCTGTTTGTAATTGTTGTTGTTGTGTTGTTGTCTGGGTGTAATTTATCTATAATATGTTTATATTTTAAAATATATAAGCATGTTTATCAGCAGTCTGGTTACACAGCTCAGGCTCTGCCTAGTTTGGGATCAGACGGCCGTGTGTGAGATGTGTGAAAATATTATTATACAGCAGAATAGGAAAGGAAATCTATAACTATGGCAATTTAGCCAATAACTGGGTGATTTGTCGATTTTTTTTACCTCAGCGTTATTACCCGCAACATAAGAATGTTTGAAAATAAACTATTATATATATATATTCAAATTCTTGTCATTTTATAATGTGCTTGATTAAAATGATTGAGTATTTGGAACAATTACCAAAGAATAATAATAATTATTACAGGTTGATCATGAAAAAAAACTAAACCTCACCAGTTCCTCCTTAAGTCGTGTGTACTTTTCAGCCTCCTCCTTCTCAAATTTTGCTTCTTTCCTCTCTGCGGCCACTCCTTTCTTTTTCTGATAAGAGAATTGTGCCTCTTCATCGGCACGGTTAACTTCAGCGCGGCACGCTTCATACTGTTCTTTTAGCACTCCTGACCTAGCAGTGGGGAAAAAAAGTTTTCTACAAATCTAGATAATCACTGATTTGGTTCTATTACATCTATGAACAGGAAACCACTAGTAATGAAGGGAAAACGTTTTAGACGCTGACTAATATTTCAAATAGTAAAGTGCTCATATGTCTTAAATTCATTAGCAACCTTTACTCGTCCACTGCTGGACATAGGTCTCTCCTTAGAAAGGTTTTGGCCTACTATACCACGCTGGCCAGACGGGTTGGTATAGGGTTTGTTTTAAGTTATCTTTCTCTTTGCAGTGCTGTTGTCCTGCGCAGCTTACTCCCTTAGCCGGCTCTTACGACACCCATGGGATGAATAGGGATAGTGACACTCTGTATTCTTATTTCGTCACCACACTGATAGCCATATTTACTGTGACTATAATATATATTGACGGCGGTGACCCATCTGCTCGTTTGCCCACAAATGCCACAAAAAATCTATTGGACATCATGCTGAGGTTGTTTGATCATGTGAAACCAAGAGTTGTGGAATGGATAGCAAAACAAACATATAAAACGAATGTGATCAGGATGGCGCTTAGAGCAGGTCAGGAGAAGCAGAGTTTTCGTAAGAAATCAATAACACTCAATATTTTCTCTTATGGAGAGTAAGAGGTAAAAGAAAAAAAATCGATTTGCTTATATGATAAGACACTAGATTTCACTTACCCACTGATTTCTTCAAACAGTGCAGTCCTTTCTTTAGGATTCTTCATAGCAATGCTCTCAACGGCTCCTTGAAACACAAGGAAGTTCTTGGCTTTCACGTTGATACCAAGCTTCTCCAACTCACTCAAGTAATGAGAAACTGACACTGACTGTAAAACAGGGACAGTTTTTACCAGACTTATTTTCAAATTCATTAAATCTATACAAATAAATAAAATTGGAGTGTCTGTTTGTAATATTAAAATAACCGCTTTTTACTAAATGCATATGTATGTTTACAGGGTACATATGCCAAAATAACATTTTTTACCATTTTTGTCTGTCTGTCTGTCTGTTTGTTTGTTCCGGGTAATCTCTGGAACGGCTGGACCGATTTCGACGGGACTTTCACTGGCAGATAGCTGTACATGTAGCTGTAGCTGACATAAGGAGTAACTTAGGCTACTTTTTTTTTACTAGCTTCGCCCCGCGGCGTTGCCCGCGGTTATAACAACAAACGCGGGTAACACCGCGGGTCTCAGCTAGTATCATATATGTTGAAAAATGTTGACCAGTAAACCTGTACAATGTAATGTTCCATACATTGGTACATTTGTGGTGATTTCAACACATGATTAAGCAGTGAACATTTTACAGTTTACCTTTCAGGTTCTTATTACATTAAACATATAACCAACTTGACTATGAGGTTAATACAAATAAGGTTTTTTTTTGCTTTATTTCGACTCATTTTGAAAATAATATAAAAATTCATTATTTAAATATTTCTTCTTAAATAAAACTCACCTGTCCATCAATTTTGTGTTCAGAAGATTGTCCTATAACAGATCTTTGAAACTGCTTTTCTGTCATATCTTCAAGTAAAAAAGATGCTGTGACCGATGCACTACAGATAAAAACAAAACATGATTATGATCAAGAAACACTATCCGTTAGTGAAAAATTATAGTAATAGTTGGCAAACAGAGGAAGACGTGTTCAATGTGTTTGCATAGAGACAAAGCCCTTAGTAATAGCCATTAGTCATCCTTACCCTTAAAAGGTGAAGGGTAAAGAAAGAAAGAATTTAAAGGCTCGGTAGTATAATGCCTAAGGTGTAAGATTTTCAGTAAGTAGTTGTTTGTTCAAACCCCTCTTAGTGCACTACCAATGTGAACGTACTACACTAACACATTCATTTAGCTTTTCTAGAAGCGATAACAAGACTCGTAATATTTGACTCAGTAGTTTGCTCAATAGGGTGGTGACACTCCGTATTCTTAATCCGTCACCACACGGACATTTGACTTACATTGCTAGAACTACTCTAGTTAACGCCATTGTAATGACACATTGTTATCTCGACTTTAATACAATTTAATCATAAGATACCTTCTAGAAACTGGTTTATTGATAGAAGCGCCATGAATAAGGTCACTAAGACGTTTCACTCGGAGAAGAGAAGTCTTTTCACCCATCACAAAACTCACAGCGTCCATGAAGTTTGACTTTCCTGAGAAAAACACACAACAATAGTCAAATTTCATCTAGTTCCATTTAGCAGTTCAAATGATAAATGTTCTATTTTTTTATTTGTTTTTTATTATTATTATTTATAATAAGTTAATAGGATGAGTCCAGGAGCAAAATTTTGTCGAAGTAATGTTTTAAAATCAAAGTTAAAAAAGGTAAGTTTTTACTTAAATCAATTATGTAATCTGCTCTTTGTTTTAACAACTATTTACACATTACCTGGCCCCAAAACAATCTATACACATCAAATTACTTGCTGACTGACTGATTTATCAACGCAGAGACTAAACCCTCACCGACTTAGCAAAAAAACTTGAAATTTTGGCAGCCCATGCTTTTTATGTTGTAAGGGGTGAAATTACCAAAAATTGGTGACTAAGAAAGGATTTTGGGAAATGTCACCCCTGGGAGATTCAAAGATGGTCCAGGTTTTAAGCACTTTACAACAAACAACTCTACAAATACTCCACCAAACACAAAATTACATTGTGACAATTTCAAAATTCATTAGGATTATTATAATAGACATATTTTAATCTCCAGTGATCGGGTTATCAAAGTGTTACCTGAGCCATACATGATTTTTTACTGGTAAATAATGTCAATACTGCAACCATGTAGTAAACCACACAGTAAATATTAATATTTATATATCAGCTTATTGATAACAGAGCAATATATTAAGACAGAAGAAAAATACTATTTACTGTTACTCAAACATAATTAATGACTGCAAGCTATTGTATGTGAGAATAACAATCAAAATAGATAATTTATTAGTAATTGAAGCCATTTAATGAATCTCAATACAAGAAAAACACCATACCTGAGCCATTAGGTCCTACAACTGCAGTAAAACATTTTAATGGCCCTATTCTGTGTCGCCCCCGGTAGGACTTGAAATTTTCCATGTCAATATATTTAAGAAACGCCGGCATTTTGGCAGTTGTCAACTAATTTTTAGTCACCATACAAAAAATACAAATTAAATATCGCTAAATAAAATAATAGCGCCAAACATCGTCACATCAACAACACAACAACTGTCAAACAAGGAGCAGCCATTTTAACTAGTGCTTCCAGTTTAGTGATGGCGATTACCTTTATTGAATGTTTTTTAAAACCATGTTGTTTTTACAAAGAGTTCCTTTCTATAGAAATTATACATTATTATGTATAAGTAATTGAACAAAAAATAAAATAATTATACATATAAATAAAAAAAAACAAATTTGTGTTAAAATATAACACCCAGAATTTGTGAACTGAATCTATGAATTCATTCACATTTTACAACAAAAAATTATGTTATGCTTTTTTGTCTCAAGAATTATAACTTCTTAAACAGTACCATATGTCTTTTTCAGTAACCCTTGGCATAACTTTAAGAGTGATCAAGAAAGTTGAACCTACAAAGATCACACAGTGAAAAGCGCTTTTCTATGAAAATGACTTGATCTAGACTTGAGTGCATTATAAATTAGTATATATTAATGTTCAAATAAATACAACATCTAAGTTATTAACTTTAATCACGTCTATGTATTCATTGTCCATAGTTATAGCTACATTGCACATTTCTTCAGAAACTTATACTCAGAGTTTCAAAAGTTCTGAGACTGAGTAACTGAGTAGTTCTGAGTCTGAACTACTCATTTACTCAGAACTACTCAGAAAATCCCTTGCTTTGCGCGCTCAGTTCAGCTCAGCCTTTGAGTCGTATTTTATAAGACTCAGAGGAGCTGAGCTAAAACAAGTTAATTATACTAAGTTGATATACTTCATAGAAGTTCGTTCACACTACTTGATACTCTTAAATACTCTTGATAGTCTATTTCAGTTTTATGAAGTTTAGATTAGAGATGGAACGGTCTGGAATATACCGAGTTGAATCGGTCTGACAATTCAAACGAATCGGTTCCAAACCGAACCGTTGAAATTGCAGTAAACCGCGGTTTGAACCGTATGACGAGTGGACAACAATATGATTAGATGGGATCAATTAAACCATCGTTTTGCGGGTTGTCAACGGTTGGCAACCTAGCTTACATAAATAAATAAAGGTTTTATTTCCATTAACTAAACTTAATCTAATTACAAGAATTGTTAGAGCACTCCATTTTGAACATAACAGTGCCTGTATTATATTATATAAGCGTGAAACTTGACATTACCTAATTACCTATACTAACCAACGACCGACGCGGTGACGGTATGATTTGATTAGTAGTTTGTTGAGAGCTAAGGGCAATACAACAAACAACTTGGTCAAGTAACAAGAGAAGTCGGGTCATTGCATCACTAGTTTAGATTATAGTTCTGTGGACGAATGTATATTTGTAAAAGAATGTAGTCTAATATTTACTCCGATAAGTTAAATTAAATGGTTATACTTCACTATTCTAAATATTTTTCCCTGTTCACTCGGCTAGGGAATAGTTTGCTATGCGGCTATGTCTTCTGATTTAAATACAAAAGATACATATTCTATATCTGAAAACAGTTCATACGATCTTAAAGACGAAATAATGATGGATTCTATCGATCATGAACGCTGTCGATACCCATACTGCATTGTTTGGACTCCAATACCAGTTTTAACGTAAGTAAATTTTCTCATAGATATCGTGAGTTATTAACAGTATGCTGGAAAGGCGATGAAAGGTGATTTGATCAGTTTGATTTTATTGTCATGATAAAACGGATGTTGGTAGTTTAGTAGTAAAAGTTTTAAGGCTGAGTTGATAATTAATTAAGTTATCGTGTCCTTGAGGAATGACCCCAATTCCACTTGAAATTAAACTTCTTGTACATTTCTTGCGAAAAAAACAGTTGCATACAGAATCAAAATGTTTTGTTTTTTAATAGAGATTTAAAATTTTAGATGGATGTTTCCTTTCCTCGGTCACATGGGGATTTGCATGTCTTCAGGAGTAATAAGGGATTTTGCTGGTCCTTACTTCGTTTCCGAAGATATGATGGCATTTGGTAACCCCACTAAATACTGGCAGTTGAATCCACATAAAGCTTATAATGGACCGGCAGGATGGGATGCTGCGGTTACTGAGGCATCAGAAATATACAAAACGAGAATGGTAATTACTTTCTTACCTTATCTAAATCCTGAAAAGTTTTTAGATTATTAGAAACTTTTTTAGGTTTTCAATTATGTGAGGACCTGAAATAACTCCAGGTCCTCCGTGTAAACCACAGAGGACCTGGACCAAGTTATTTTTTATTTATTTTTTGTTGTGGAGTATACACAGAGTGAGTCTTAGGAAATGGGGCTGGACCGCGGGCACCTTCTAGCTGTAAAGTCCGACTTGGAAAAATATCTGCAAAGATTTAATCATTTTATCATCATTATGGGTCTGCTTTGAGCAGTTACATTTAAGCGTCTATTTAACCTCTAATATCTTGAGCATCAACTTGATATCTAAGTTAATTTTCTTACTATGGTATGTACTGCTTACGTTATTCCAGCATATCATATGTTATGACAACTGCCACTCACATGTGGCCACAGCATTGAATATCATGAACTATGACGGCTGCAAGAACTGGAATATGGTCAAGTTAGCCTTCTACATGATACCATACTCCAAATATGTCAGGTAACTATTATATTATTTTTGCTTTGTATTTCCTAAGTAAAGGTAATTTTTGAATAAACAACTACGTACGGTACATTTTCAATGTGATTGCATAATTTTTTGAGTCAACCTGTGCCAACATATTAATCACAGGTTATGTCAGCCTGTGTCCGTCACCAGGGCAAGTGTAACATGGTTGAAACATCAGGCTGGCCAATTTAATTCTTGCTGAATGTTGGGAGAGACATGTTGGGTATAGTCCGATGTAAACTTAACGGTGGCTCTGAAGTTAGCTACGCACACAGGTGGGCACAGGTACCTACGGTCAAGTCGACTCGACCCGCTGTTGTTTATTATTGTGTTCTGCCCATCTAAATGCACGATATGTCCAGCCACCATTAAGTTTGCATCAGAATATATACTCCATTGAATAGTAGTCTAAAAGTTAGCAACATTTTTCTTAAAATGTGAATGTTTGAATTTTTGTTAATCAATCATACTACAATGTATAAAATAGATTTATTGAGACTTATAAAGCAAGTGAAGTCGCAGGCAAAAGCTGGTTCTCTATATGCATTATTACTTCACAGCAGTCATTAACCTCCACTACTGTTGCTTAAATCTGAATTTATATGCTATTACATGTATTGTTTTCTTGGGACTTAATAAATTTGTTTTATCTTTATTTCAGTTTTGGTGCATTCCTGAAGACCTGGGTGCCATCCCTCATCATCTTTTCATGCATAATTTGTCTAGCATCTTTATTATATAGTTAGTGAATGTGTATGTATATTTTGTGTTGATGTATTCTAAAGGGCAGAGACTAAGTCATCCTTGGGCCCTAAATAAAAGAGGTTAGGCCGTGGTACAGGGCCCAGTAGACCCTGCAGCGGAGGCCTGTGAGAGAGATAGGGTAAAGTGTTACTGTTGCTTTTTGTGTTGTAATTAATATCTACTGATTGAAAAAGCATTTAAAATCCACTGAATTTTAAGGGCCTCTTATTTTTATATTTTTAAATTTAAATCCCTCTAACACATCCCTTACCACAACGGCACCATTTGTTAAGATTATGTGATGTGCAAATCTAGAAACTAAATCGGTACTGGACAGTATTTTATTACAAATATATTTTGTTTTGGAATAAAATGCTTGATTTTTTATTTAATAATGTGAAACATTGTTTAATTAGTTTGTGTAGAGCATAGTGGCCATTACGGGAGACATGACAAAAGTTAGATGAACTCTGCACAGCTTTGCTTATGCTTTAATAGAGATATCAATCTCTTCACTGCACTGCTGCCCATTTGCCTGAACAGTAATAGTACTCAACTCACAATTGTAATACTTACAAGTTAAAATAATTGCAACAAGTTTTAGCTCAACTGTAGTAGCATGTAAATATATCAATCTTTAAAAGTGGGTTTCGGGAACCCTTTCCCCTCTTCTTTTTTATACTTTTTACTACATTACTACTTTTCTCAAAATTGAATTCAACCAATACTTCAGTTTTAAACTAAGAGAAATTTCATCTATTCTGTACTTGGATAGATGTTAAAACTACCAACCTCCAGTAGAATCAGAATCAAATCAGGTAAAAATCTGCTGTTTTAGAAGCCTTTTCTTTATTTATTTTTTTGGTAAACTTCTAAATTTCCTTAAGGTTGCTAAAACAAAACATTGTGTGTTGTGTTTGAGCAGCAAAAACAAAAAAAAACTGTACTTACTATATTAGAAAAATATATTTTCAATTCATGTAACTAAAATTAATAAAAACATTTGGTTGGAAACTGTTTTGGCTAAACACATTGTATTATGATATTACCTTCAATTTAAATAATATGGAGCAACCAAGAATTACTAGGAGTACACGCCCGGAAATGGGCCAGCTACCACAGACGACTCAGGCGCTGGACGTCGCAGAACGACCTCTATAACTGCAGGCCTGCGGGTGACAGGGTAGGCCATCTGTCACCCTAGCAGAAGCAGGCCGGGGTGGGTGGCGGCGCAACCTCAGTACAGAGCTCGCTCGTCCTTCGGGGTCAGAAAGGAAACATCGGAGTTCCCACACAGAAGGGGGGGACATCTATAAGTCGTAGACGGCCCGAGCTACGTCGGGGTACCGGGCTTTGCTTTCTAGGGTATACCTGGTTCCCCGGCTACTGATACCCTGAGACGGAGTGCGGTTTTTAGTCGATTCAAGTCCGACATAACCACCCCACTGGTGGGTAGTTACTGAGGGGAATTCCCCTTTGGTTACTACCCACCAAAATAGGAGTACAGTTGTAATAAATTATATAAGGTTATGTTACTGTTGTTAAAATATTGTTTAAATGTAATTTTATCATAAAAGTAATAGCGTTGAATTTTTGATGATTTTTTTATTTTTATTTTATTTATTTATTCATTCATTGCATTCGATAATATACATTCAGGTGGTAGGCATAAAACTAGGTAACAATTATGGACCCTGTCGGGCACAATCACTAATATATTTTAATTGTAGTTTTTCTACTTACTATTGGGTTAATATTACTTCTTTAATGTTTGAGAGGAATGTAATAAAATATCATTTTTATATTTTTGTCATTATATTTATAATATGTAGAATTACTGTGTTATAAATTGCTGTAAATAATGTACTTTTGTTTTCATAATTTCCTTAAATCTATATAAAATGTAAAATTTATTTGTCAAATGAAAAAAGTCATAATTGATATTTCATAATAAAGTATCACATGAATCAGCTACCATTAGCACATAGCCAAATCTTCAAGGTCACTTACAAGCTTTGTAGATGTTTGAAGTTGAATAAAATATTTTAGTGGTCTCCTGACATAACCCTTACATCCATATTAAACAATTAAAAAAAAATTGTAAACACCAGCACTGCAAAGAGAAGGAAAATTTCAAACCCTATACCAACCCGTCTGGCCAGTGTGGTATAGTAGGCCAAAACCTCCTTTCTAAGGAGAGGCTATAGATATAATAGTAAAATTGGCTCAGATTTAAACAGCAAATATTAAAGTTACAAAGATCAATGATATGTCTGCACACTGGTCAAAGCTGTGAGAAAAACAGTGTCTAACTGTTGGTCACTAAGTTCCTTTACATTGTTGTTGTGTTGTCACTGTCACTAAAAGCATACATAACAAAGTTAGGTATTTGTTTGTTAATGTGACTCACCATCTGGGCATATTAATGATCTAAGGTTACATATTATTTAATATCATATTAAAAAAAGCTATTTGAGAATAAAACCACTTATTTTAAAATCGTTCCGAAGTAGAGAAATAAAGGAAAATGTTTATTGAGTCCAATTAAGGCACTATAAAATAATTACAGGTTACATATTACTAAATATTATATAAAATAAAAAAAAAATGTTAATATAACAAGACAAATAATCAGAGCTGTTTCAAAATCCAATTACTTATTTAAAAAATTTAAGAAAGAAAGAGTAATGTTTATTAAGCCCAATTGAGGCACTACAAAATAAATAAGATAATTAAAATAGGTACCAAAATGATTAATAGTTCAGAATCATACAGAAAAGATGAAAAATTTAAGGTAAAATAAATGTAGATGGCTTATATGGCCAATCTTTAGTAGCCCAAGTTGCCTAAAGGAATAAAATCATTTAATAAACAGAAAATCAAGCAACGAAAAAACAGATATATTGTTATTGTGTGTACCTCATAATTGTTCTCAATATTGCAGCACAACACTGATTTTCAACTAGTTCCTGTCTTGTCTAGTGAATCATGGCTGCTAATCTTAAAAAAAGTATTCCAGTCAAGATTGTTTAGAATGGGAATTTATATAACATTGTGATTAACATAAGCTGTTATTAATAACATGAACAGTTTAGTATCGCATTTCTAAGCTTATCTAAAAACATTCTTACAAACACTATCTTACAAATAACCAAATCTATGAATGTAGTTTCAAAGAACAAGCAATTAATCTATTATTCATTAGAGGCAATCTATGTTTTCTTATTAGTATCACATTTATTACCTGAAGGAAAACCTCTTCATATTTTCTTCAGAAACATATATTTGAAGTCAATAAAGATATATATATATACACAAACAAAACTGACAATTTTTTTCATATATTTCGCACAACTTTCAAATTGCTATCCATTACTAAGTAAACAGTCAACACTCTTTCAGTACACTTCTCTCAGCAGAAAAATCATAGTCAAAACTGCTAATGTTTACTTTGTTTGTGAGAAACGCTAGAAGGTCAGCAGTTTCCGAGGCGAATGAATCCTTATTTGAAGCCATTTGAAGCGTTTTACTCATGGTGAAAGGAACTCCTTGTAGGTAGTGAAATGTCGGGTCAAATAAAGCTCTTCGTGGTGTTGAGGCGGGTGGCGCAAGTGGTGCGGGTCTCTGTGGCAGCGGTAGAGATCCTCCACTCACATTAGGATATAAGTTGCTTCTCGGGGAATTTGGATCAATTACTTCAAAGCCTTCATCGGGGGTGGGTCCTGCACCAGGGATTGGGGGCATTTCATCCTCCACCGGCGACGATCTTCGCTTACCAAATATTGAAGAAAACATTTTTATCGGTTACTGTAAATTATTGTTGAAAAACTTGAACAATTAGTTTTTGTATTTTGTTTCGCAAAACGCATGAGTCAATGGGCTGTCGTCAGGCCGACAGGCGTCAAATATACTGCAGGGCTGCCACTGGTTTTAAACATCAGGGTTGCCAACTGTAGAACTTTTTAAACTTCATTTTAGAATTAAAGAAATAAAATGTTGAAAAAATTCAAACAAGATACAGTGGCTGGCTCGTCAAACTAATACAGTCTGTCTTTCTTCAATGGAATTTGAACCTGTAAGAATTTGAAACCTGTTGGATGCCAGAATGTAAAACCTAAAATCAAGTATTAAATTTGTATTAAAATCTCTTTTCATGCCTCACATGCCTTTTCGTGTTCTCTCTTCGTACTTCATACAGTAGACCACATATCAACTAATATAAATCAAACAATGTGGATGGCAACAATGTCAAGTACTCTTATGGGATTTCTAGCATAGTACGCATATCTATGTAACTTTTCGCAGATGGATTTCTTTACTTGACATGTATGACATGCAAGACAGAGGTTTGATGCACATAACAAATATATACTTACACACATCAATTTTAACTCAATACCTTACTTAGGTATACCTATAGTTATGCGATTCTTAAGTAAAAGCCCGTTATTAAATGTCTTTCAGTGGTAATTAGTTTATATGGCGTCGAATTATAGTCGATTAAACTATTGATTTTTTGCTTTTCAACTGGTTTTTACTCATAAACTTTGTTTTCATTTACTAACTTCAAATGTCATTATTCTGATTGGTAATATAATTTTTTTTTAAACTTGTTTCCTAACAAGATTCTAATAAGCCAGTAAAACGCCAAAGAACTGACTTTCCTCTGATTTAACTGCAACAGCGAACGAATTGATTTTCCAACGTATGAATTACGTCAAAATCTGGTCAAAACATAGAATTTAGCTTGTTTTGAAGAGATATAAAGTGAATTCAAAAGATGAAATGAAGGCTAAAATATGTTTACTAGTGCTCGGTACAAAGTATAAAGTGTTACAAAGAAGTATGTAAAAGTTTTTAAGCAAGTGTCCTATAAACATTGATAAAACAAGTGGTCGGAAGCCCAGCTGGTCTAGGCAAGGTACAAATTGCTAGTTATATGTGTTTTTTATGTGTTTATCTGTTATATATTCAAATATTAATAGTTATGAAGGTCGTTTGCTTATAAATTCAATCATATATTTGTGGTGGAACCAAGTGTTGTAAATATTAACGCGTTGTTTTTGTTTTTGTAATAAATCAAGTCTCTTTAAAGCATGTTACTGTTTGTTAATTAGTTATTTATTTACTTAAATATTAAAGATACACTGTATATGTTATGCTATTTGGTTTATATCAATTAAAATTTGTTTGATGTAAAATTCAAATTTTAATGAGTCATTGTAGTAGATGGGTGGCAGGTTTCTAGTTTACCTTCCACTTGATACGGAGCTGTCGCAGTTCACCAATGTCACTTGGTTAGATATAGTTAGAATACTACTTGAGAAAGACTGACATAGTTTTGGATACTTTTGAAGTTAGAAACAAAAATCTACAAGACTATGTCACAGGTGACTCTTCTCAGGAAGGGCTGACAGAGCTCCTTGCGAGGAGTAGTAGGAGTGGAATGTTTAAGTTACACCACATATTATGTTAAACATGGATAATGAGAATGTTTATCGCATTTATTGTTTGTAACCGTAGATAGGACATTAATAACATTTATAACTTCAATGTTTGATTAATAGCTTTATGGGGCAACTACAATTTCACCATGTTATGTATCCAGAAGACAAACTATGAAGGGATTTTATGTAGAAATGTGGTAGAGGCAAAATAATTTGGATTTGGATCCTAGAGAAATATTTAGAAATTTTTTACTTTTTCAGTTTCATTGAAACATAAATAAACTAGTAATATATGTATATAATTAATTTGAAAAAAACATATAAATATATATATATATATAATAGAAGCATAAGTCCGTGTGCTGACGGATTAAGAATACGGAGTCTTTGCAAAACAACACAGGACACCAGCACCGCAAACAGAAGGAAAACTTGACACAAACCCTATACCAACCCGTCTGGCTGGCCTAGTATAGTAGGCCAAACTTTCCAGCCAAACTGTCCAGCAGTGATGTGTGATGATGTTGATATAAAATAAACAAAAAATTCACATGTTATGTTATATCAAAACTTAATTTCATTAAATTATCCATCCATACTTTTATTACAAATGTGAAAATGAGTATGTTTGTTTCTTACACTTTTACACCTAAACCACTAAATTGATTTTAAACATTCCAAATGCAAAGCTACGTTATCAGCGTGTAATATAGGCTACTTTTATCTGAACTGACATAGACGCGGGATTGTCTCTGGTGTGTTGAAGCGACAGTAGTGAGTTTTTAGGTTATTTTCTGAATTTTGGCATATAATTTCATATTGTGCTTTCGTAATAGTGTTTGTGTGGTTCTGTGGCAGGAATAATCCTTAACAAGGTTAGTGAATATTAACAACCGCGCTCATTTCTACGGAAATGAGCGCGGAAGACCCCCCTGATGGGGGCGGTGTGTTACCCCCCGATAAACCCAAAGCTATAAAGCGACAATCGGACTCAGTCTTTCCCGTTGACTTCGATGGAAAGAAAATACGTTCACCAGCTGAATCGATTCAGTCAATTTTCTCAAAACCTGGATTTGAGTCTGATTCCAGGCTCGAATACTCGGTATCAGACAAGGGTCCATATTCTGTGTATGTTTCTAGGCTTGAACCTGATCCATCATCCGGCCTGTCCCTTAAGGCACTCAAACTCGCCCAGTTCTTATACAAAAACAAAATACCTGATATTGTAGAGGGAACCATTAAAAATATGGGTCGTAACAAAGTCTGTGTGGAATTTGTGTCCGCTATCTCAGCGAATAATTTTGTTAACTCCCCAATTGTCAGAAAATATAACTATGTGGCTAATATTCCTCGCTTCCAAGTATTTCGTATGGGTGTTGTTAGGGATATCCCTACTGAGTGGACTCTAGAGGAACTAGTATCTGGAATATCTGTCCCTAAGAATTGTGGTGAAGTTGTTCGAGCTAGACGTCTTAATGTTAAGAATAAAAAAGATGGAGTATCCGTTTGGGTCCCATCGAACTCTGTGGTCCTAACTTTTCTAGGACAGAGTCTGCCAGAAAAAATTTTTTGTTTTAATGCGTCATTGCCAGTGTCGCTTTACCAGTTACCTACCATACAATGTAGGAATTGTTGTCGGTTCGGCCACATTGCCAAACAATGTAGGTCCCAGCCCCGCTGCTATAAATGTGCTCAGCCGCATTCTGGTGACTCCTGCCTGGTTCCTGACTCGGAGATATCTTGTTTTTTATGTCATGGTGGTAGCCATTGTGCTACTGATAACAGATGTCCCGAACACAACAGACAAAAATCCATCAAAAGTGTCATGTCTCAGGAAAACCTCAGCTATATGGAAGCATCAGCTAGATTTCCACAGTTTGCCAAACGGCTATATTCTGAGGCTGCTGCCAGTCCCAAATCCCCTGCTAATTTCCCTCTAAACCCTCAAACTCATCCATCCATCATACCTCTCCCATCTGCTTCTCCCTCTAAATCATACAAAAAAACAGTTAACCTTCCCCCTCGCCGTATATCTATGTCTGGGAAGACATATGATATTCATGCCCATAATACAATTACTCAGTCCCCATCTTCTATCCACCCTAATGGTTGTTGTCTTATCCCCCCTACTGAAACAACTCCTCTTGCTACTCCTAATGACAATCTTGTACAGCTCCTTCTTTGCTCTTTAATTAACATGCTGTCTAAAATGTCAGATGCCTTACCGTACGACGTTGCAGTTCTTGTTGAACAACTACTTTCTGTTATCACAAAAAATAATGCTTCCAATGGCTCTCCAGGTCCTGCAATGGAACTGTAGGAGTATCCGACGTAACAAACAAGATATCTCTTACTTGATCAATCAACATAAACCTGTTGTTTTTGCAGTTTCCGAAACGTGGTTAAAGCCTGAATTCCATTTTAGAATTCCTGGTTTCTCTTGTCTTCGGGATGATAGAAGTGATGGTTATGCTGGTTGTGCCTTATTGGTCAATAGGAATATTACATTCTCTCTAATCTTATTACCAAACCACTCTCTTGGCTTAAATATAGTGGCCCTCAGAGCTTTTAATGTTTCCTTTGTCTCTGTCTATATTCCCCATCCCAACACAAGCATTCTTCTTGAATTAAAAACAATTCTTTCAACTATCCCCTCCCCTATGATTGTTTTTGGAGACTTTAACTGCCGTCACACTCTATGGGGATCTCACTGTATTGACTCATGCTCCTCTGTCTTACTTGACGTTATGGATGATTGCAACTTGTGCATCCTTAATGATGGATCCGCAACTCGTAGAGTTTCTCCATGCCAAAATATTAGTGTTCCAGATTTAACACTATCTTCTCCTTCCCTAGTCTCCCTCCTATCCTGGTCCCCCCTGCCAAACTCCCTTGGTAGTGATCACTTCCCTATTTTAATTTCATACTTCCCCTCTACTTCATATGTTCCCCCAACCCTACAACCCCTCCTCAAATACAGAGTTTCCCAAGCCAATTGGGAGCAATTTGCAACATCTCTAGATCAAAATTTAACCACTCTCCCTCAAACAAATTCCTTTAATTTTCTTGTCCTCTATGACCAATTTATCTCTGCAATTAACTCAGCTGCTGATTGCTCTATTCCCCTCAAACTTCCTTCCAATAAATTGACTGCTTCTCCCCCTTGGTGGGATTCTGAATGTACTGCCAGTGTTAAGAAGCGCAGGGAGGCTGAGAACAAATTTGCTGCATCCCTTTCTATGTCGGATTTCCTCAATTTCAAAAAAATTGCTGCTAGCACAACTAGACTTCTTTCTGCTAAAAAATCTTTAGGTTGGCGTTCATTTTGTGAGTCCTTATCTCCTCGCT